CTATCATTACCCAACCTCCTATCATGATCATTTTTTTATTTTTTGTATTACTTCTCATTATTCCATCCTTTCGTCTCCCATTATTTTCTATTACAACTTTTCATCTTCTATTATCTCTTTTTCTCTCCTGTTTACTTCCCATCATTTCTTTTTGTCTCTCATCACTCCTTATCGTCTCTCATCACTCCTCTTCGTCTCCCATCACTCCTTTTTATCTCCCATCGTCTCCCATCACTCCTTTTCATCTCTCATCATATCCTATTTCTCCTTTTGTTTTTTAATCTTCTATTTACTTTCCATTACTCCATTGTTGCTTCATTATTTTATTAGAATCTGTCTCCTTGATAATTGTAATTTACCGTATTTTGCGGTATATAAGCACCCCATTTTTGCACTTGATGCCGGCCAAGATCCTCATAATTTTGGCCAAAATCGCCATAATTCTGGCCAGGGGTGCTTACTTTCGGGGGGTGCTTACTTACCGCAAAATACGGTACTTATCTTTTTTATTTATTTATGCGGAGGGGTGATGATATGGTTACATGGGTCAAGAAGGTAATTTTTGCGTCCGTTGTTATTGTTTTTTTATTTGTATCACTTCATTAAAAATAAATATGGTGATTTTTTCTTTAAAATCGTAAATGTGTGACTTAAACTTTAATATTTGCAAATAAAATTTAGATTATTTTGAATAAACATATTTGCAAAAAAATTTTTCTAAAAATATCTTCGCAATAAAATTTTAAGTTTAACCGATCAAGTTAAAAAAATCAGCCATTGGCCGATTAATAAATTACTATATATTGTACATCATGTGACAATTGTGACATATTTGAAAAAAAAAATCCAGGCGATGATCGCCAGGCGACGGTTAGCAATCCCCTAAAATATTTTAATATTTTACTACTTGCCCATCAAGTAAGAGAGTAATAATAACATACTTATATTTTATTTGCCATGCAGTATGAATAGGTCTAGTTTTTTGATGGTATTAGTAGGAAATAAATGTAATAAATTACACGATTTATATGATTATACAAATAACAATGAATTGTGTGCAAGTGTTATATGAAATATTATTATTAAATGAAAATTTTATTTATCATACAAAACAAATGTTGCAGTGAAATTTACAAATTCATTACAAAAACAATTTCGTAGTAGTTTATTGTTACATTGTTACAATTACTTATTTATTTTTTGTAACAATAGATCGTTATGAACTTATGATTAATTTTCTAGGAAATTTTTTTCTAGAGGATGTAATTTTTTTTTAATGCCTACAATGAAATTTTTTAAGTAATTATGTTAGCCTATTATTGAGCTTGATACAAAAAAAAAAAATATTATTATTAATAATAAGAATCAGGAAAAAGTAAATTCGGGAAAAAAAATTTTGAATGGAATAAAAAAAAAAAAAAAAAAAAGAAAAAAATTCGAAAAAATAAAAATGAAAAAAAAATATTTGTGGGGAGGAACAAAGAGAAAAATCGGGTTGAAAAAAGAAACCGAAAGGAAAAGGAAAAGGTGTTTCGAAAGAAAAAAGAGGAAATTTGAAAAAAAAAGAACCATTTGTAAAAGATCGGTTCAAGAAAAAAAAAATGAAAATTAAAAAAAGGGAAATTTAGATCAGTTGGAAAAAAACCGAAAAAAAACAAATCATTATATTGCAATTTGATAAAATATTATAAAATATTGTAGAAAAAAAAATATTAAAGAACAACTGAAGTTATTGTGTTAAATATTAAATATATCTTTATTGTTTATCGCATTATCAATTATCACGTTTTGGGTCAAAGAAAAGACCATTTTTGCCATACATAATCATGCGTATTCTGACCGGGTCAAGAAAGTAAGTCGTACAGGATCGAGAACGTAATTTTTGCGTCTGATAGATTGTAATTATTTAAATTTGTTTTAAACGATTCTACAAATATTAATTAAAGTCAAATTTATAAAAACCGGTAACATAAAATGATTATACAGTATAGCACGGTAGTAGTGCGGTACTAATTAGTGTAACCTCGTTGTTGTAAATCCGATTGGATCCTACATAAGACTTGAGGGAAACTGGTAATTACCCGATCTTCACTTCTGTCGCATGTAAATTTATGTAAAAAATATTTTGAATCATAGAAAACAAAGAAATGTAATAAAAAAGCGTAGTTTACAAATAAGAATTTTTTATTTTATATTTTACAAAAGGAAATTGTTTTATAAAGAAAAAAATTTGTAATTCTTTATTATTATAAACCTTGAAATATGTTATAAAGTAACCTCTTAATTTCTTAATTGTTCCTAGTTATTCTAAATTATGTATTTTCAAAGTCAATAAATTCAAAGACGCCATTTCAACGAAAATAAAAAAAAGTTTCTCCGTAGTTCGTACGCTGCGTAATTAAATGTCAATGGATTATCATTACTATATTAGTAAATTAAAATGAATTTAATAATGGTTAGCATGTTACCATAATAGTATAAATTAAAATACATAATAGGATAAATATTGAAACTTTTTTTTTTTATTATTATCAGTAATATTTTATTTTTCGTAAATGGAAGAATTACATATTAGTGATGAGATTTATAATCAAATAAAAGATTTTCAACGTCTGGCATTAACTGACGAACAAGAATTACTCATTAATAAAATTATACCATCAGAATTGTATGAGAGTTATATTAAATATGGATTATGTGAACGTTGCAAGCAAATTAGAACTCATTATACATGGTGTCAAACTTGTAATTCTCTAATATTTAAAGAAAATTCCAAAAATTGGACAAGTGGAAATGCTAATATTGACAAATTTATTCAAGAAGCACAATTAAATGCTAAAGAATATTGGCAAGTATTAGAATGGATAGATTATAGTCAATTTTCTAAAGTTAAATATATTGCAAAAGGTGGTTTTGGTACTGTTTATACAGCAATATGGAGAGAAGGATATATCAGTTCTTGGGATAATAAACTTAAAACATGGAATAGGGATAAACAAAATTGTCGAGTGGCTTTAAAGACTTTAAATAATTCTCAAATTTTAGTACAAGAATTTTCAAAAGAGGTACAGTGTATATATATATATATATTTTCTTATAAAAAATAAAATATAAAATAAAAATCTTAATACAGACTTACAATTAATTCTTAGGTTAAATTTCATTCAGAATTGAATTATCTTCCTAATTATATTAAATGTTACGGCATATCCCAAGATCCTAATACAAAAAATTATATAATGGTAATGGATTTTGCTTCTAGGGGTAGTCTTCGAAACTTTTTAAATGAAAGTTATAAAGATATGAGTTGGAAAGATAAAATACTTTATATGACTTGGATTATTGATGGTTTGAAGGATATTCATGATAAAGATATAATTCATAGAGATTTTCATTCAGGAAATATCTTGATAAAAGATACTCATAATTTTTGTATTGGTGATTTAGGTTTATGTGAAATAGATGATGGAAAATCTGTTAATGAGGACAAAAAAATATTTGGTGTATTACCTTATATTGCTCCTGAAGTATTAAAAGGTCAAAAATATACAAAAGCAGCTGATATTTACGCATTTGGTATTATTTCTTATGAGATTATTACTGGATTACCTCCATATTGTGATATACCGCATGATCAATATTTAGCTTTAAAAATTTGTGAAGGACTTCGTCCACAATCGAAAAATTATCATGTACCTCAACTACTCTCAGATTTGATTAAACAGTGTTGGAATGCAGATCCTTTAAAACGACCAAGTGCAGAAAAATTGAAAAATATGACCTCTAAACTTTTTGTTGATATATCTGCTGATAGAAGGGAACAAAATCTCTTCTCAAATCGAGATCCTGATGAATCAGGAATATCTAAACAATGTGCTCAAGCGGACAAATTAAATAAAAAAGTAGCTCAAAATAGTTCGAAAGTTACATATCAAACGCATCCACAAGCTGTTTATACTAGTAGGCATTTGAATTATAAAAGTCTTTTAAGTTCTGAAGCTACTCACAAATTTGACATTCCAGGTAATTTTTTTTTAAAAAAGTTTTCTATTTATTTTAATTATAAATATACTGATTTTACTTCTTTATTCAGAATCTTTACATTTTGATCTTGATAATTTTGATATATATGAGGAAGATGGTGATGATGAACCAAAAATTTTAGGTAAGCAACCAATATGATTAATTATTTATTTTTAAGTAGATTTTTTATTAACATGTATCACATAAGAACCCGAAGATGATAATCTTAATGCATGAATTTCAGGTAGTAGTTTAGATAAAACTTTCCTTTTTATGTTTTTGATATTTTTAATGTATTAATTAATTTTTTTTTTTACAATTTAAAAAAAAGGTTGAACGTCCTACGATTAAGATGATTTTGATGAACGAAGAAGCCAAAATTTATATTTTTATTATTTACAAAAATCTTATTCTTCTTTTAAATTATTCACATTTTTATAAATAAATTATATTTATTTATTATTCAACATCTTTTGATTATTAAATTATAAAAATATTTCATGCTAAATTCGTCCTGGATATTTTTGCCATGAAATTTGAGTCTGTTAACTCTCTTCCTATACGTATCTGATCATGACGCACGAAAATTACCTCATAATGCGGGTGAGGATCGATTTGCATCAGGCGGGCTGCCTCTTCATTGGTTATAGCTACTTGTGCTTCACGGATTTGGCGGATTTCTTCCTCATATTCCTGCATTTTTGCATTAGAGCGCGGATATGGAATGAACTTGGGGCACTTTTGAGTTTGGCTTGTTCAGAATTATATATCTGCAATATTTTATCTACATGTGAAACGAGGTTTTTGTTGCATCGGTTAATTTCTTTCTCCTAAATGCATAATTTAATAATGAAACATTACAATTAAGTTCTTACATTTATGTGGTTATGAAGTGAGCTTGGAGAATTGTAAACACGGCACGACTTAATTTTGAGGCGACAAAACACGTGATTAAAACTAATTTTATCACGGGTGCGGGATTACTGTTCTTAAAGTTGCAAGTACGATTTATAAAAACTAAATAGCATTGTTTTTGTATGTACAGTTGTATGATATGATAAACACTTTTTTATAATGCAAGAGTAAAATGAAGTAATTTTTCATTTAAAATTATTGATCTATGTTGCACTTTTAGAAGGTTCTAGTGGAAATGAATAAATATATGGATAAATAATATTCACATTAAGAAAAGATAGATATTTTAATATGTAACTTTATGACAACGGTCAATAATCAGCAAACAATTTGGCTATGTGATATAATAAATTTCACGATAAACCGATGTTTTAATATTTTATCTTATATATAAACATACAAAATTCGCTATATCAAACTTATAAATTTTGATATAGCTATTTTTTTCAGTGAACTGGAGGGTTCGTTATGCCGAGTTTTGATTGTAGTAAAAAAAATTGTAATAAAAGAAATAAAAGGTGTTTATTCGGAAACGGTTCTTAAGTTTTTATTAGCAAACGATCAGAATTACGACAATATTACTGCCTCTGGCGCTCTGTAACGTTTGTACTACCTATTTACAAATATCAAAAAACTCATTTACAAAAAAATTAACGAAAACGACTGTAAAATCATTGCTATTCCTCCTATCCCTTAAATATCAGTGAAAGTTTGGCACAATTTCATCAAAAAGACAATTTGTCAGATGGCCAAATTATCCGCAATACAATTCAATTTGTAAATTTCTCGATCAAAAAATTTTACCCACTTCCGCACCCAGCAACCCTCTAATTCCCATTTATATACCCAATAAACTATATACAAAAATAAAATATACATCTATATATATTAAATAACAATGTATATTAAAATTTATATGCTAAAAAATTATATAAATAAATGCTATTTTAAAATTGTTAATAAACGCCATATAAAAAATTTGCATAACATTTAATACCAATATTATTACCTAACATCATCATTGAATATTCTCATTTGGTTGTAGCTCACAAGCTCTTTACTAATACCGTCTTCATCATAAGTGGCCAAGATTATGCACAGCTACCAAATGTCCATTATTTACAGCTTTTTTATACCAATAAGCAGCAAATTTTAAATCTTTTTTAATACTTAGTCCATTTTCATAAAACCAACCTAATTTATATTGTCCCATTGCATAATCTTTATTAGCTACTTTTTTGTAATATTCGAATGCAAGTCTTTCATTTTTTGCAACTCCATATTTGAATCCAAGTCTTTCATTTTTCGTGAATCCATATCCAAATTGATAACAAATCCCAACATAAAATTGTGCTAATGCATGGTCATGTTTAGATGCATCAATAAATAAAATAAATGCTTTTGCCTTAATCTCAATTGTTCCAATTCCACAAAATTTTAAATAACCAAGTAAAAAAATGGAATTTGCATTATTTTGATTGCATAATAACCAATTATGGAATATTATTGAATCTGTACTATGATTATTAATATAATCAAGAACATGTTGCTTTACCACACTTCCTTTATTAGTCTCCTCACAAATGAGATCGACTATTTCATTAACTATTATGTTCAAATCATTCTTTGACATTATGCATATCTCATTTGTATTTGTACGATTTGGAATTAAATTTACACTTGGCATGGGATTAATTTGATTGTCATTTTGTTGATAAATTGGATTTGGAATAAATTTTCTTAATCTATTAACAACTTCATCTATAGATGGTCGTTCATTTGGTTCTCCATTCCAACATTCTAGTAATTAATAATATATATTTAATACTTGATTAAAAATACTAAATACTAAATAAAACAATTAATATAGTGAAATATAACTTGCCGGTATAAAGATTAGAATAATCAATAGGAGTATCAGAAATAATTACTTCTCTTCGACCTTGTGAGATTTTATACATTAAACTAAAATCATAATTTTCTTCATGAAATGGTAATTTTCCACTTGATATTTCCCATAACAGTACACCAATACTGTATATATCACTCTTCTCATTTAATTTTAAATTACCCATTAATACTTTTGGATCAATATAGGGAACCTTACCAAATAAATTCAATTTTGAATTAGATGCTTCATCAATCCTTTTTGATAGACCAAAGTCCGCCAGCTTGATAGAATTTTGATGGAGCAACACATTACAAGAATGCTATTATAATATACAAACAAAGTAAGTTAACTTTTAGGAAATAATCATCTTGTTGTTTAGTATTAAAAAAAAAAAAATTACCAAGTCTCGGTGAACAATTCTCGCTTTATGCAGACATAGTACAGAACAAGCTAATTGGAATGCTAATCTGTATTTATTTTCCCAAGTAAGGCTATGGAAGTTGTTTTTCAAATAATCACGAAGCGTACCACCGTCAGCGTATTCCATTACTAACAAATAATCTTTTGTTGGATTAAATATATTTTCTAGTAAAAGTAATTATTATTAGTTATTGCGTAAATAAGATTATTTCATTCAACTTTGACTGTTATAATCGTAATTAAAATATTTTACCAGTTCTTAACTTATATTTTGTAATTCCGTAAAGGCGAATAATATTATCATGGAAATCTACATCTTGTTGAAGTTTAATCTGATTTTAATATGAACGTACAATAAGTGAAAGAATTAAAGAAAGTTTACAAAAGGAGTACACATAGATAAACTCTTTTAAAAAAATGTATCAGATATTTATAATAATGAAATTACCTCATTAATAATTTCTTTCAAAGTAATGTTAAGATTAAAAAAAGATTTTAACGCCAAATAATGATCAAAGCTCTTCCAATTTGCACGGAAAACCTTTCCAAATGCTCCGGAATCAATCTCTTGAATATTTTCAAAATTTTCAAATTCGTAATATTTAATATGTTTTTTATTGATAGCATCTTCAATCCAATTAATACATTCATCCATATTTTCATTACTTTCGTTATTTTCGTTATTTAACATTTTATTTTATTAGAAATAATGAGTGAAGTAAAGCAATATAAATTTGGTGAAAGTCCGAATAAATCTATTTAAGGAATTTACTTTACGTAAATCAAAATAAATTGTTGATCAGCCGCAATAATTAATGTTATACAAGGAATTTTTTTTAGAATTCTATACACAATTTCTAGAAGTTTTTTTCAATGGAAATATGAATTTATAATTTTTTTTCTTAGTTTATTTTACTTGAATTTTCTGTACATATACTAAACGCACATTCACATGAAAATAGTCAAAACGAATGAGGAACTTCACATACATTATTGAAGGTTACATGAACAATTTGACCATTTCAAAATATAAGTCATAAAAGTTACTTAAGCTAAGTATCTATAAAGTCGTATGGGATAATTTGATATTATTAAGCGCAGTAATTGACAACTTTACATAGCGTCGCCCGGAAAAAATTGTAGCTGGAATTCCGATTCATTTTCTGAACCTCACGTGACTTCGGATACTGATTTCCGGTTATTAGTTAAATTTGTTTATTTCTCCTTTATTCCCCTTTTGCCCCTTTTACTATATAACAATGTGGAGGCAACTGTGCTACATTATTTTATGATAAAAAATTGGGAAATTTCTTTATAAAAATTGAAATTTTTTTTTTATTTTTCAATAGAAAATTGGCCAATTTCTTTTTCTAAATTAAAAAAAATTTTTATTATTTTTAATAAAAATTGCTCAATTTATTCTATTATTAAAAAATTAAAAAAAGTGTCTTATTTAAAAAAAGTAGGTAAATGTTTTTTAATTGTTTTAACAAAAATGTTGTAAAAACGTTTTTTATTAATAATTTTCATAAAAAAAAAATGCGAAAACGTAAATAAATTAGTTGCCTGTGTCACCACGTTAAATTAAAATTAAAAAATGTTCATATTTTTTTTATTCCATAAAACATAAAATAAAACAATTTTTTTTTTAATTTATTGCTAAAATAAATAATATCTTGCTTTAAACTTAAATAGTTCCCATTTTTTTTTTTTAATAAATTAATTAATTTCACTAGAAAATATTAGAAATTTTTTTTGTTTTGTGTAAAAAAATTTTTTGATGATCAACATAAAAGTAAGAAATGTAAATTTCTTCATGATCTATCAAGTCAATAGTGGCACAGAAGAACTCAGCGTCTTATGTACTGTACTAAGTACTTTTTTTTTTTAAGATTAATGATAAATGGACCTTTTTTTACCAAAATGGCTAGATCAATAATAAATTAGGGAATGATTGGCAATAGAAAATTTCTAAAATTTCTTGCCGGAGTTAAAATTTTTGACAATGATCAACAAATGATCAACATAAAAAATATCCACAATTGTTGTAAATTTTCGATAAATGATTATCTGGGTGTAAAAGTCAAGAAACTGATTTTAAAATTATTTATGGGTGAAATCATTAGAAATTCGTTTGGTTATATATATATATATTTATTTATTTATTCCTTTCTACATTTAATGAAATAATCCATCTCATGCATCTTGTACCTGTGAAAATAAATAAGTTCTTTTATTTAACATAACAAAGAAATATTTTACAATTAAAAATTGTTTAATTTTAAAAAGGTACGTATTAATTAATATAAAAAATAATAAAGTAATGTTAATATTCTTAATGTATCTATCCATTTACAATTTATTATCGGCAAGTGTAACATTCATGATTTTTATTTTAACAATTGAAAAAAGTTAGCTAATTTTGACTGAGTTGCTATTATGATATTATCTACCAAATTTCGAAAAAATTAAATTCTATGATTTTTATTGGAATTTAATAATTTGTGTACTATGCATATATAAAGTGCAGACTTTTAATTATTTTAAAATTTACTAATTACATTTTATGTTACCAAGTAAAGTTTTAAATTTTATTATATTTAATGAATATTTCATTATTTCTTCAATGAGTCTGCTATATTATCAATAAAATTGATACTTTACATTATTTGATGAGATTATAAATTATCTGAATATGCTATATTTATAGAAAAATTATGGAAAACATAATGTAATTACAAGTACTATATTCTTTTAATTTATTAAAGTATTTAATTTATTTTGAGCATCTTGATATCCTTGTTCTGCAGATTTTGTATACCAATAAATTGCTTTATTTATGTCCTTTTTAACTCCATCTCCATTTTCATACATAGTAGCAAGATGACATTGAGCCATATAATGTCCTAAATTTGCAACTTTTTGGAATAATTCAAGTGCCTTTTGTTTATAAGCATTGGTTCCAATTCCATAATAATAACAAATTCCTAAAAAATACATTCCAGGTGTATTTTCTGAATTTGCAGATTTTTGATATAATCTAAATGCTTTTTGTTTGTCAATATTAGTTCCAATTCCACTATAATAACAATTTCCTAGATTATACATTCCGCGCGCACTTCCTAAATTTGTTGCTTTTTGATATAATTTAAATGTTTTTTGATAATCAATACTGGTCCCAATTCCTGCTTGATAACAATATCCTAAACTAATTATTCCAGATACATTTTCTAAATTTGCCGCATTTTGATATAATTCGAATGCTTTTTGTTTATCAACATTAATTAGAATTCCAAAATGATTAAATACTCCAAGTAAAAAAAAAGAATTTGAATTATTATGGTTATTTAATAACCAACTATAAATTTCTTGTAAAATTATATTATGATTATTAAGGTAATTAATAATTTTATGTTTTCTATCATCCATTTCTACATTATCAAGAAGGAGAATTATTTCATTAACTATTATGTCAATATTTTTCTCTGATGATATTGAAATTTGTATTTCTTTTGTATTCATATTATTAAAATTTTGAATAAGTTTGGACATTTCTTCATGTAATAAATTATTACTAGGAGTTTCAACAACATTTTGCTGTTCACTTGATAATTGGACATGTAATTTTGCAACAACTTGATTGATAGTTGGACGATTATCTGGTTCATTATTCCAACAATCTAAATATAAAATAAACTTGTAATTAATAACTGTAACTATTATTAACATAATAAAATTTTATTTGTATTTTACCAGTATATAATTTTGTATAATCATCAGGTGTATTGGGAATGGGTTTTTCTCTAAGACCATGTAATATTTCCATAGCCAAACCAACATCGTATGGCTCATTACAAAAAGGTGGCCGCCCACTAGATATTTCCCATAAGAGTACGCCAATACTATAAACATCACTCTTTTTATTCAATGAATATATTTGAACTTTGTTGTTGCTATCTCTTTTTCTATTAAATGTTTGTGGATCAACATAAGTAACCATTCCAAATATTTTTGATTGAATATTGGAAGATTCATCGATCCTTTTTGATAATCCAAAATCAGCCAATTTAATGGTATCCTTATGAACTAATATGCTATTAGAGTGCTATTATTATTAATTGGAATAATATTAAGTAATAATCTTACAAATAGTATATTTTAATAAAATGTTAATAGTAAATAACTTACCAAATCACGATGCACGATCCCTTCATCATGCAAAAATGATATAGCATTAGCTAATTGAAATGCTAGATTTAATTTACCATTCCAAGTAAGATTTTTATAACATCCATCTAAATAGTTTCGAAGGGTACCATTATTGGCATATTCCATAACTAACAAGTATTTTTTTGAATTGTTGCTTTGATTTTCTTTTTTAAGAAAAAAATTTATTTAGATTTTTATTTTATTTTATTAAAATAACTGAATGTTCAAAACATTTATAATACCTGTTGTAATGCCATAAAAGCGAATTATATTTTCATGAAAATCAAATTCATGATGAAGTTTAATCTAAACAAAAATAGAATTGACAAATTAGGAACATAATTTACGTTAATATATTATAAAGACAAATATATAATAGTAGTTAGTTACTTCATTAACAATTTCCTTAGCCATGACATTGAAATTAGAAAAAGATTTCAATGCTAAATAACTATGATAACTTTTCCAGTTTGCACGATAGACTTTTCCAAAATTTCCAAAACCAATTTCTTGCATATTATTAAAATGATTATAGTCATAATATTTAATTTGTTTTTTCGTAATAGATTCTTCAATCCAATTAATCCATTCATTTGAATTATCAGTAATTTTAAGTTCAGTGTTATTAGACATTGTTTTTAAGTATAGAAAAGCGGTAGTTTTTTTACTATGGAAATAATTTCGAGTTTGAAAAAAAAGAAAAAAAAAAATTTGGACTATTTATAGAAATTGGTGTTACGATAAAGGCGTAATTTGTAAATCATGACTGTTCATCAATAAATTTAACGCACTTCCATTTTGTGGGCGTGGTTTTTTCATCACGGAGGTGACAAAATGACAAATAGGCAAAGTCCACCGTCCTCGTCAGTCACGTGTGCAGTGACAAATAAATGTTGAGATTAAATTTGAAAATTGACAATAATTTAATTTCCACGATAAAATTGTTAATTATTTATTTAATTGTAAATGTCATAACACCAAATTTCATAATTTTTAATGATTATCAGATGATTCAATGTAATCTTAATATATCCAATTTTTTTTTTTGAAATAGTTTTGAAACGCTTTTATTCATTTAATTATTAAAAAAATTTTTTTTTTTTTTCTTTAATATTTTTGTTCCTTACGTTATAATATTTAACTAGGCATATCATACAAATTTGAATCTGATTACTTGAAGTTTATCAAGTTAATTATGATGTAATCATTCAGATTGGAAGAAGGACCTGAAATTTCTCGTGCATTCTAATTTTTCATATCGTAGCTAGATCCAATTGTCGTACATCCTTTCTATAAAGATATCATGCTTTTAATTAATTTATTTTTGTCTTATGATCAAATATTTAAATAAAGAGTAACATAACGACGTATAAACACTTTATAGTATTTATTTATTTTTGTAATAAAATAAATTATTTGAGTTATGTCATTTTAACGAACTGATTTAGAATTTCGTACGTTAACGGATAAAAAGAATTATAATCTGCGTGGATATTTCGTTTTGAAAAATATGTCGTGATCGTCGTGATTAAACTTTTTAATATTCTATCACGCTAAATTATTTTATAAAATTCACTTATAAGAATATATTTAATGAAATATTATTTAAATCTGATCATTTTCCTAAAATTACTACTTTATTCATTTTATTTTAAGTCCCTTACGTACTTTTTTGGTTCCGGTTTTAGCAAGTTGTACGAGTTTTAAAGTTTACAGTCGGTAAGAAATGGTAAGATTAAATGATGGGCTAAAGCAAGCGGAACATTACACAACATTATACAACATGTCATTTATCCTTTTAGATCTGATGCTGTATTACAGTTATTTTATAATTAACTAAATACAGAATTGTGTACAAGGCAACCCAATTTTTAATTGGTATACTTTCGTTGCATGTTTCATTAAAAAAAATAAATAAAACGAATAAAAATTTAGAAGTTGTTTGTAATTATAACTCAAACCGATTATGTATATGACTGTTTAGATAAAAATTAATCTTAATTAACGTAAAAGAATTTAATTCTCTGGCTAGTACTTCAATTTATAATATTATAAAAAAAAAAATTTTACATGCAAGAAATTTGTCTCACTTCAACCAAATTTATGTTTTATATTGCTTTGTTAAATTGTTTGTTTAATTATTTATCAAGTTTGCTGTACAATATATAAAATAAAAATTAATCCAAGGCGAAGTAAATATTTAGAATATCTTAATAAAAATCTAAAAATTTTTCATTTCATAATTCAATAAAATTTTATAAAAAATATTCCTTATGATAATTATTAAGAAATAATAATAATGGAAACGAGCATTCCATATTACAATGATATTTCTAATTTATTAACTGAATTAACCTATTTTTTTTTTCATTTAAATTTATATATTACAAGTATAAAATAAATCAGTACCACATACTCGGGTAGTACAATTTTTTGATTTACATTATGTAACGTTTATTTAGGTTATATGACTTGCTTGATAAGTAAAGTGTTATGACGTTATGACACTAACTTCTTTTTCTTTCTTTTTTTTTGTTTCAGATTTCATTCTTATTAAAATTTAAGCATGTCTTATATTCGTGAAAAATTAGTTTGGGCTGCAATTAATAGAGCGTTTGCTTTAATAGATTTTGATATTTGCAATAATATACATAAACAATATGAATTTAAAATACAAACAATTCTTGCTGATGAATCGCTTACAGAAAATGAAAAAGCTAAAGCAATAAAAATTTTGTGAAAATTGTGACAAAGAATGTTTGGCTACATTGTTTTGTGAGCATTGTGTTCGGAATTATTTAAAAGCAAATTTTTCAAACTGGACATCTGGAAATGATAATATTGATAATTTATTACAAGAATGTCAGATGAAAGTAATTACTCCAGATCAAGTACCAGAATGGATTCCATATAATAATTTTCGAAATATTAAATATCTAACAGAAGGTGGATTTTCCGAAATTTATACAGCAGAATGGATTAATGGATGTTATAATGAATGGGATTCTAAAGAACAACGTTTAAATAGAATTGGAGAATCTGGATTAATACAAACTGTAGTACTTAAAAAATTAGAAAATGTTGAAAATGCAAATCGAAGTTGGTTAGAAGAGGTTTGTAATCTGGAAATATTTTAAAAAGATAATTTGTACTTAAAAAAGTTTAATACCACTTTTTTTTTGTAGGCTAAATCACATTTAAATATAAGCAATAAGTGGCCAGAAATTGTCCAATGTTTTGGATTAACACAAGATCCATCTAATGGGAGTTATATGCTTGCAATGAATAAAATGGATATAGATTTAAGAAAATATTTACAACAACATCATAATCAACTAACCTGGAGTAAAAGAATTCAAATTGCCGCTAATATAATTTTATCACTTTGCAGAATTAATTATGAAAATGCAATTCATAGGGATTTACATTCTGGAAATATATTATTTAGAGATAAATTTTATATTAGTGATCTTGGATTTTGTGGACCTGCCGATAAACCATTAAAAAGTATATATGGAAATCTTCCTTATATAGCACCTGAGGTTATTATTGGAAAAGAACAGACTTTTAAATCTGATATTTATAGTATTGCAATGCTTATGTGGGAAATTTCTTCCGGACAACCACCATTTATTAATTATGAACATAATTATGATCTTGCTATGAATATTGTTAATGGTATAAGACCAAAAATTGTATCAGGAACTCCTTTAGAATATAAAAATTTAATGATACAATGTTGGGATGCTAATCCATTGAATAGACCAGATATTGAAACACTTAGGAAAAGAATAAGAGAACTTAATTTTTACTACCAAGATAAACCAAATGAATTATTAACCAAACTGGAAGAAGATAATAGTTTGGAAATAGGTGATTTAGAAAACTATACAAATAGCAGCAGATTATTTACGAGTAAAGTTCATCAATTTGAAAATCTTCCTGAACCAAGAAATTCAACAGAAGGTATTATACTAGTTATTTATTTTCCTAGTTAATTATTTAAAGAATATTAATGTATCAATAACATTATTTTTTTTTATCAAAATAATAGAAGAACTAGAAGGTAATAAATTATTTTTAAATTGTCTTATTTTATAAATAATTAAGAAAATTAATTATTTTTTGAACTTATAGCATTTTATAGTAAATCTTTCAACTTCTACGTTCCTGATAACAGTAAGTATTATTAGATTGATATTAAACTAAATCATGTGCATTAACTAATATTTTGATACTATTTAGTTGATGATTTTGGTAAATCAGTTAATCAAAGTGATAATGATACTTTAATTAACAAAGGTAATTACAAATTTATTTTATTTTCAACATGAATAATTAATTATATTAATAATAAATTGTTGTCTAGATAATAGTAAAAGCTTATCCGAAGTACCTAATAAATTACAAATAAACTCGAAATCTGGTAAGTAATCTAAATTAAAGTAACTAATTTAATTACCACAAATTGAATATCAAAAATTCTTTAGATGTTCAAAATAATTATTATAGAGAAGAAATAATGCAACAACAAAGAAAGAATATTGATATTGGTATGCAAAATAATTATTTGTAATCACAATTTTTTTTTTAATTCTAATTTTATTTTAAATATAGATGAGGATGAAGTACACAATAATCCTAATCTTCATTCAGAAGAACAAGATGAATTGGAAATTCCTGATAGTAAGGATTAATTTTTATATCAATTTTGAAATATTATTTGTCTTTAAATAGTTATTAACTAAATTTTTTAAATAATATATTTAGACATTTAGATACAGATTTATATTTAACAAACACTATTTCAATTGAATTTTTCTTTATTATAAATTATTTAAACACTAAGATTAGAGTAGTAAGATAGCATGTTTTCAAGAATTTAGTTTGTAATTTAAATAATTTATTTATTTATTTATATTTTAGATTTTTACTTCAAATCACCGGGGGTGATCATCACCGTTGGCCAAAATTATCAATTTTTACCGGCACTATATTTTTTTTAATGCTGGTCGATTGTCATAATTTCAGTCACCGGTGATCATCACCCCCGATGATAGTTAGAAAATTTCTATATTTTAACATATAATAAAAAGATTATATTTTAGTTTCGATTTTAACTATTATAAAATTTTTACTAAATTTTTTAATAAATTTCAATTAGAGGTATAACTTAGTGTTTTTTTTTGATAATGATAAGTAAAAATAAATTAAAAATAAACCAAATCATTAATAGTGTTTATCAAAGCTTTGAATGAGTTTTACTTATTCATGACAAATTTTTTTAAGAACTCATTACATAATTCAATTTTAAACCTAATGATTGTGAATAAATTCTTTTGACAACTAGGGGTGTAGATCTGATGAAGGATCTATAACCCTTTCAATATCAAGTAAATCAGTTCTAGTTAAATTTAAAATTATGCAAAAAAAAACTGTGTAAAGCAATTTGATAATCATTTAATATGTAATAAGAATTCTCAAACAGCAAAAACAGAAAAGCTTTTAAATGTAATTAATGTTATTTTTATTTTCATTTACTATTCGAAATATTAACGATGTAGTTTAAGTTAATCTTCATATTAATATTATTGCCGGCTCTTCATCTAATTGCAAAATAAAACGTATTTTATTACTTTATTCCTTTCGAAAATGATTCCACCCATTAACTTTGATTTTTATTAGTTTTACGCTATTCATTAGCATTATTTAAAAAATTTTTTTTAAAAAAAATAAATTTGATTATGGTCAAGTAAATAGAATGATATGTGAATAAATCAATAATAACCTTTTTTCAAAAAAAAAAAAAAAATGGACGAAACATATTCTGTTTGCATGTTTTATATAAACTATAAATGATCCGATAAATTCTTTTTTTTTTTTTTTTCTTTTGAACTATACCTAAAAATTTCTATCCAATTTTGCGTCACTATTGAAATGAAGATCCCAACGTAAGAATATTTCGTGCAAATATGATTGATACCCTATTTCACCGTTCTCTATTTTCACGGAGAACTTTAATATCTCACTAGAAACCTTTCAAATTATTTTAAGGTAAATTAATGCATGTTAATAAGTTTAAAATGTCAAAAATTTTAATATTTGAAATTATTAAACCTTTATAACAAGATACTATAGTAAAATCTTATTGTTGATAACATGATTACAGTATTTAAAAAATATTTAATTAACAACAATACTGGTGGATATAACAACATTTTGAACTAACATATCGAAAAGTTTTCAATCTAACAATTTATTAGAACTTCAACAATTATGTACAAATTTAATGGCTAAAACTCTTGAAAAAAAATAATTAAATCACTTGGCTTTCTTCGTTACCCGAAAAATCGTTATTTCACTTATTAAAAGAGAATGATTTACAAATGAAGGAAATTGAAATTAAAATTTGGGAACATGTATTCAAACTTTATAGATAATAACTTTAAAATGATATACAAAATTTATACAAAATTTATTACCTTTAATTAGTTTATCATCATCTAAAGAATTTTACACAAAATGAGTCCTTACAAAAGCTTTTGAATCAACTTTATAAAGATTTATTAAATTCTCATATGGATCCTGATATTGAACCACATAACAACATTCCACTTCCCAGGACTTAAAAATAAGAAACATTATTGAATCAAAGATCGTTAATTTAAATATAATTTCGACTATTTCAAGATGGGTTGATTACATTTATTGAAGTTAAAGGAACTGACGAGATATAATCCTTCAAAATTGAAATCTTCTAGTAGTTGAGGTCAACCTTTGTATAATTAAGGATAAAGATAAGATTAAAGATTTTATTAAGTCATGTAAACAATATGATTAAGGCAGTAAATTATTTACCTTCATTTTGGTTACAATGATCTTAAATTATCACGTAATGGCTTTTTTATAGATGTGAGTCCATTTAATTATAATATATTTGTGCAAACTAATTATGAGAAAAGGATAAGCTAATAATTATTAATATCCTTCATAAACTTGCGGAAGTTAGACTAATACAATGTTTCATGAATTATCATAAAGATTCTATTCTTACAGCTAATTGCAAAAATATTGTACCACCCAATTCATTCTTGCTCCGAAGATGAATATCCACAGATCGTAACGTAATTCTGGCAAATTTATAATTCCGGTGGTATCACGAGACATGATACTAGTGATACACAATTTTCAATATTTTAATTCCGGCCGGAATTACAAATTTAGCCAGAATTACTGTCGATCGATTACGATCACGTGCGTATGACTGCGTATGAAAAATTCAACTATTTAATAATCTTTTGTAAAAGATAATCAATTGCACTTTTACAGTAACTTGATATACCATTCCAGACTCGATGCTCATGAGACTTGTGAAATCATTTGTATACCTGACTTGTGACGAAAAAAAAGTTGCAATGTAAGTGTCGAACAAATCCAGGTTCTAATGCGCTTGACACGTAGTATGTTCCACAAAGAAGGGATTCAACGTAAGAAGTAGAGAAACACTACCTACAAATGAATAGGTCTATGGCTGAGACGTCATATTAATTTGCGTTATTTTACACTCTCACGAATTGATGGATATTGTATATATAATTAGTGTTACGACCCGGATGAATTATGGATTTTGGATTCATGCTTAATTCTGGCTGAGTTTATAGTGCCGGCCAGAATTATAATTCCAAAAAAGGAAATAATGTTATCAAATCCAAAAAGGAAATGATCGGCATATCAATGATAGCATCCTGACAGTAAACGAATTATCCGAATTTGTCCGCTTTTTTATCCGGATTCATCCGTCATCCGACTGAAATTCTAGCGGATGATCCAAATGAATTTCGAATTGGATACCCGCCGGATTGACGGATTAACCTTGGTCCAGATCTTAACACTATTAATATAATAAGATGTGATTTATTTATTCTTTCCTTTGTTGAAATCATGATCGTTTATTATGCAAAGAGGATTATTATTTGTTGTATTTGCAGATGGAACAGATATATGAGTTGGTGTATAATTGAGAAATGTGCATTCTTTTTATTTAATTTTTATTAGTAGGTTCTCCGGCCTAGTTGTCTAGTTGCTTGTTGTATTTTCCGTAACACTTCAGTTTATAATAATAGCCTTATCTGAATAAAATTTTATATGCAAAGAATTTGTCTCACTCCTGTTTTATAATGCTTTATTAAACTGCTTGTTAATTATTCATCAAGTTTATACTATAATAAGTACTATACATATAGTAAAATATGATATAAAATAAAAATTCATTCAAACCAAAAATAATTGATTAGGGTTATTTAAATTATTATTTCATATTTCAATAAAATTTTATGAAAAAATATTTCTGTATCATATGAAAATTATTATTTGAGAAATAATAAATGTAAATAGTACTTTTTCATACTCAATTCCTAAAATGAAATATACGTTTTTTATAATATAATATTATACTAGGTAAACGGAAATCGTAGAAGTCTGTCACTTATTATGAATCTGTGTAAATAAATCACGTACTAGACGGTTTGGGTCTTTAGCCCATGCAATTTTTCCTTCCTTTCTTCTTTATCCATTTAATCCTTTTTGAGCTACTTATTTCCTTTTATATTTGTATCACTTTTTTTTGTGTAACACATAACAATAGAATGTTTTTCGGATAAATAAATCAGTACCACAGATTAAGATATATACATATAGATATACATATATATAGATATATCAGGTAGTACATTTTTGATTTACAGTATGTAACGTTCATTAGGTTATAAAACTAACTTATTAAGTAAAGTGTTATGACGCTATGACACTAATAACCTCGTTCTGAATTTTTTTTTTTTTGTTTCATTCATTCTTAATAAAATTTAAGCATGTCTGATTTTCATAAAGTTCATGCTGCAATTAAAAGAGCATATTCTTTAGTAAATTTTAGTATTTACAATAATATACACAAAGAATATGAATTTAAAAAACAAACAATTCTTGCTGATGAATCGCTTACAGAAAATGAAAAATCTGAAGCAATAAATATTCTAACTATATCCTATGATGGGGATAAACTTATTATTAATGAAGGAACAAAAAGAATTTGTGAAAATTGTAATAAAGAATGTTTAGCTACATCATTTTGTGAGCATTGTGTTCGGAATTATTTAAAAGCAAAATTTTCAAACTGGACATCTGGAAATGATAATATTGATAATTTGTTACAAGAATGTCAGATGAAAGCAATAAGCCCAGATCAAATACCAGAATGGATTCCATATAATAATTTTCGAAATATTAAATATCTAACAAAAGGGGGATTCTCTAAAATTTATACAGCTAAATGGATTAATGGATGGTATAATGAATGGGATACTAAAGAGCAACGATTAAAAAGATATGGAGAATATTTAATAATACTTAAAAAATTAGAAAATGTTGAAAATGCAAATCGAAATTGGTTTGAAGAGGTTTGTAATCTAGAAATATTTTAGGAATATAATGACTAAACTTTTTACTCAAAATTAAATGTATCTTTTTGTAGGCTAAGTCACATTTGATTATAAGCAATAGATGGACAGAAATTGTCCGATGTTATGGTTTAACACAAGATCCAGAAAATGGAAGTTATATGCTTGTAATGCGTAAATTTGATACAGATTTAAGGAAATATTTACAGCAAAATCATAATCAGCTTAAATGGAAAGAAAGACTTCAAATTGCTGATAATATAATTCTAGCACTTTTACGAATTCATAGTGAGAATTCAATTCATAGAGATTTGCATTCTGGAAATATATTATTTCAAACTGTATTTGGTATAAGTGATCTTGGATTTTGTGGACCTGCGGATAAACCATTAAAAAGTGTATATGGAAATCTTCCTTATATAGCACCTGAGGTTATTATTGGAAAAAAGCAGACTTTTAAATCTGATATTTATAGTATTGCAATGCTCATGTGGGAAATTTCTTCTGGACAACCACCATTTGTTAATTATGAACATAATTATTATCTTGCTATGAATATTGTTAATGGTTTAAGACCAAAAATTGTATCAGGAACTCCTTTAGAATATAAAAATTTAATGATACAATGTTGGGATGCTGATCCATCAAAGCGACCTAATATTGGCACACTTTGGAAAAAAATCGTTGAAATTAATTACTTTTATCAAAGTAAATCAAATGAATCATTAATTCAACCAGAAGAGTATAATGGTTCAGAAATTGGTAGTAATATCAATAGTATAAAAAATTATATGATTAGTAGAAGCAAAGTTTATCAATTTGAAAATCTTCCTAAACCAAGAAATGCAACAGAAGGTATAATATACTAGTTATTTACTTTCCTAGTTAATTATTTAAAGAATACTAATTTATTAATAACATTATTTTTTAATTGAAATAATAGAAGAACTAGAAGGTAATAAATTATTTTTTAAATTTTCTTATTTTATAACTGAACAATTAAGATAATGATGATTAATTATTTTTTGGTGTTTTAGAATTTTACAGTGAATCCTATAACCTTTGCATTCCTGATAACAGTAAGTATTATTAAATTAATACTAATTTGCGCATTAACTAATTGATTTGATGTTTTTTAGTTGATGATTTTGATAAATTAGTTTGTCAAAAAGATAATGATACTTTAATTAATAAAGGTAGTGTCAAATTCATGATTTATTTTCGACAGAAATGATTATATTAATAATAATTTGTTGTCTAGATAATAACAGAAACTTATCTAAAGTATTTAATAAATTACAAATAAATTCAAAATCTGGTAAGTAAACCTAATTAAAGTATACTAATTTAATTATCACAAATTGTCTATCAATATCATTAAATTTATTATTTAATACTTTAGATGTTCAAAATAGTAATTATTATGGAGAAGAAATAATGCAACAACAAAGAAAGGATATTGATATTTATGGTATATAAAATAATTTTTTAATGACTACAATTTATTTTACGTTGCTTTTATTAATGCTAATTTATATTAACATAGATGAGATTGAAATGCACAATAATTCTAATCCTCATTCAGAAGAACAAGATGAATTGGAAATTCTTGAAAGTAAGGATTAATTTTTATATCAATGTTGAAATGCTATTAAACTTTAAAATCATTAATTAAATTTTTTTAAATAATGTATTTAGATATTTAGATACAGGTGTATTTTTACAAACACTCTTAATTTTACCTTATTATAAATTATTTAAACACAAAGATTAGAGTAGAAAGATAGGATGTTTTTCAAGATTCTTAGTTTGTAATTTAAATAATTTATTTATTTATTTATATTTTAACATACAATAAAATAAAATTATCCGGTACAGCCAATCTGATAAATGATTTCGCACAAGAATAGGTTATCTCAAGATTGTTATGATTAAAGCCAATCACTCCTTTCACTCCTTATTGGGCCAATTTATTTACACTTATCTTCTTATCAGTAAAATTAACACAAACATGAAATTGATAAACATTCTTTTAAAAATATATGTATAATCGCATAGAATATTTCGAATGTTTTTTAGAAAAGGAACAATTGTAAAAAGTGCCCATTTGCCATCAAGACATAATAATGTCCTTCTCTATGTATTTCATAATTCCAATACCATTATCTTTATGAATACGCTCATAGTACTTCATTAAGTGGACTCCTTAGTGTTATCGAAAATCAAATTATACTCTTATTTTCATGATTATCGATCCACCATTCATCAATCAGAACTTTCATGCTCTTTTTTACATAAAGAGCGGAGTTGTGAACGAAGTTTTCCACAATAGTCTATTTGATGCACGCTTTCTTAACTATGCTGAAAATTAACTCCAAGCGCAAATCAGACTACTCTATATCGCTTTAATAATGAATCAATCACCTCTATACGTTCACGCTCCCCTTTTGATAACTTCTTGCAAGGGGAATTGAACAATTCGTGTCTATCCCTTCAGGTGTTTCTTGTCGCGCTCCTCTCTCTCTTCTTATTACAAATCTTTTCTTACACCGATAATCCAAGAAAACGTCCGTTTCCCTTCCCTCGTTGGACTGCTTTACAACAGAACTAGGAATATAAATGACAAAAAAATTGTAACAAATGATAAATTTCATAATTCGTTAAATACTTTAACCAAAGAGTGGAAATAAAGAGTGGAAATAAAGAGAAATATAAATACAATTATACAAGTGCGAATTCTCTTTAAAAAAAAGGTACAATATACGAAATTCTGACAATCAAAATTCTGGTTAACGCAAACCCGACATTCGCAATCAATCCTGGAAAATCATAATTCCGAAATTCAAAATCCCGAAACATGATTATTCTTGACACTCATTATCCAATACTTATTATCCCGAAACATTATCTTTTTTCTAAATTTGATATTATGCTTCACAAAAATGGTTTACTTTTATTGCACAATTAACGTAAAAATTTATAATTAATATTTTTTGAAGTCACGTGATCACAGATCAATAATTTTCCTGTAATTAATCAAATTCTTCACCATTAATTTAATCAACATTAATTGAACTTTTTTGTAACTTGAAAATTTTAAAAATTTTCGATTTCATTAATCGCAAAAAAAAGCGTCAGATAACGGCTGGCTTAGTAATGCTGGACAACTCACTTAAGGCATTATAAAATTGGGCAATATTGGGCTGATAATGTAGGCCGGCGCAAATCGGCATCTGACGCACGACATGTATTAGGAAAGAAAAAATGATTGGCAGAACACAAAATGATCATGCGGCTCCTCGTGTAACAAGAAGATCAATTTTTTGGGCGTTAATGTAACCTGACCATACAAATTACTTTCTTTCCTTTTTCCCCTTTTTTTTCAGTTCACAAAGTAGATTATGGCAACTTCAAAAATATTTTTGGGTGGATTACCTGAATTAATAAACAAAATTATACAAAATTTTCAAAATGATTTTTCAACGTTACACTCATGCATTTTAGTTAATAGATTATGGTGTCGTATTTCAATTCCATTATTATGGGAGGATCCATTTTCAATTCCTACAAAAAATTTCAATTTTATTGAAATTTATTTATATAATTTAAGTGAAAATGATAAAAAAAAATTGAATGAATATGGAATTATTGAAGAAAAAGATTCCAATTTAAATACAGTATTTAATTATCCTAGATATATTAAAAATTTAAATACACATAAAATAATTTGTTCAGTTGAAAAATGGAATGTTAATTCATCAAATTCATGTTCAACATTTAGTCAAATATCAAATTCTACAAGATTAATATCCAAATTATTATTTAAAACATTTATTGAAAGCGAAGTAAATTTAAATAGTTTTGAATTTGAAATGACAACAGATAATGATCATGATTATTTTAATGATACGGTAGAATTAATATTACAAAATCCCAATTTTATTAATAATATAAAAAATTTAAAATTTAGTAAAAGGGTAGCAAATATTACAAATATAACAAAAATTGATTCATTTTTATTATTATTATCAACAAATTGTAATTCAATTTCAACATTACATTTTAAATTTAAAAAGAGAAGTGATGATATTTTTATAGAAAATTTTTTATCACGTATAATTAATTTACAACAAAATCTTAAAAAAATATTATTTTCTTATAAAATTTCCCCTTTACATCATTTATTATCAAATTCAAATTGTTCAAATACTTTAAGAACAATTATATTTCATAATGTTAATTTTAGAAATATAAGCGTTTTTAAAGAAGTTTTTGAACATTTAAATGTTTTAGATTCAGTTCATATTCATTATTGTTATTCTTTAACAGTTGATTTTATTCAACAAATTGTTGATATTACAAAACCATTTAAATTAAGAACTTTATTTTTAAGTAAATTATTTGAAATTAGATCTTTTCAATTATTATTACAAAAATCTGGTGATTATTTAGAAAATGTTGGTTTTGGTTCTTTAACAAGTTATGATTTAAAACAACAATTATTTGAATTAATTTCTGAATATTGTACAAAAATCAAATTTCTTAAATTACCTGGTTTTTATAATAGTCAAAATATTAATTTGGCTTTTGATTTAATTAAAAGTATTGGAATTAATCTTAATTACCTTTCTATTCATTTTTATAAATTTGGTGTTTTGGATCAAAATGATGAAGGAATTATTAAACTTAATTCTTTATTATTACAAGAATTGGGTCAAATTCTTCCTACAAAATTAGAATATTTAAATTTATCTCTTATGATTGATTCAAATGATTTTGAAATTTTTTTAAAAAATTCTCAAAATATTTTTATTAAGAAATTATTAATTAGAAATAAGATGCAAATAATTAGTGAAAATGATATTTTATTTTATTTAGAAAAATATATTATGAAAAAGAGTAGGGTTAATTATTTGGCTTTTAAAGAAGATTATATGAAAAAAGGTGATTTGTTTTATTCAAAAGATTTGGTGAAAAAATTTGAATCTTATAATATAAAAATTCAAAGTTATGATGATTTAAATATTAATAGTTATGAATATATAAAAGAAATGTATTAATTGAGTGAGAATAGATGACATAGAATTTTTTTTATTTATTTATCCATTTTATTATTGTTGGGTATATATAATTTTTATTGGGTATATATATATAATTTTTATTAGGTATATATATAATTTTTATTGGGGCATATATAAATTTTTATTGGGTATATACGATTTTAAATAAATTATTTTATTAACCACATTAACGTTATTTACAGTTATCTGATATGAATGGTTCATGACTATGAAGATAGCAAAAATTTTTTACTTTGTTAAATTATTAATGTGTAAAGTGGATCATCGTGAATTTTTGTTCTTATATAATTTTTCTCATCATGTGGTATATGTGGTATGAGCACGCAATCACGCAATGATGTTATTATATCTATAATCATGAATGGAAAAAAAATAAGTGTTTCACTTATCACTCTTCATCACCCTTCTCTTTATTACCTTCCCAACTTCCCTCTCTTTGTCGTCTCTTTTCTCTCACTCTCCCCTTCGTCTCTTTCACTCCTCCCTTCCTTCTTCTTCCCACTCTTGTCATTTCTCCCTCTCTCACTTCTTCCATTTTTTTCTTCCTCTCCCTTCTCGCTTACTCCCTTCCTTTTCTTCTTCCTTATATTATCATATACCTTTTTCGTCTTTACGTTAAGAAATTGTAGGTGTTTTGAGTATATTTTGATGGAGTAGCATGATGCTATGCACGGGTGGGAGCATAGCGTGCTTACTTTGTAAGCCTGTGAGTACCAACTTTGCTGCAGTCTCACAGTTGGTTGGGAATTTTCTTGGAGCGGTATAGTACTATGCGAGGGTTGGAGCATAGGCGCTTACTCATAGTAAGCTCGTGGGTACCGGTTTTAGCTGCAGTCCCGCGATAGGACCGGTTGGTTGCGGTAACGGCATAGTGCTATGCGTAACTTTCATGGGCGGAGCATAGTGCACTTCATAGGAAGTCCCTTGTGGTAGGGTCGGAGTACTTTTTTCACTATTATAATGATAAAAAGTAGCAAGATTTTTAAAATTTGATTAGTAAAAAATTTTTATTTATTCTAAGTTGGGTATTAACATAACATTAAAATTAAATATAATTTGGAATACAATGAATTTATATATTCAATCAGTCTGTTTAATAATAATTATTATTTCAAAATTTTTTTTCTTGACGCATCTTTAATTTAACTAAAAACGTTGAAAAAAGAATATATCGTGATATAAAATATTTTTTTAAAAAATGAAAAAGAATTAAAAGTATCTTCTATTATTAAACATTCAAATTTCATCAAAAAAGGAAACATCTTTGGTAACTTTGGTTTCAATCCGATTACGATATAACATTACTTAGTTTATTAAATATAATAAAATGGCTGAATCTCACCGCAGGTGATTTTCACCGTACCAGCATTAGCAAATATTAATGGGCGGAATTTCATGACATTTTTAATTCTGCCCAAAATTCTACCCTAATTCTGGTAATGTGACGATCATCAGCGGTGATATTTAGCAATACTCTAATAAAATTAATAATAGAATAATCTAAAGTAATAGTAGTATAATAATAAATTAATTAATACATGTCATAAACATAATAAATTATCAACATCTAAACAATTTTTTGTATTTTGCTCGAAATATCCATTTTTTAATCTTAAATTCTTGTGATTATCATTGGTTCAGTGGACGAAGGCGAAACAAATAAATTAAATTATAGTACGAATTTTCGATTCTAGTTAGGCCATTGCAGATTAATAATTTAACGTCCTTTTTGACTGAAAAAATTGAGGGAGAGGAAAGTAAAAATTAAACAAACATGCTAAATAAACATACTATTAAAGAGATTAATTTTTTATTCATTTTTTTCTCTCTTGTCCTGCAACAATTTTTTTACAACTTCGCAAAAAAGATGTATTGTTTGATAATTTTTTATTAAATTTTCATCTGACTCTAACAATCCATCTTTTTTCAATGATATGTTCGTTTTATATGTAGATACCCACATACGCTTTATCGTAACTGCTCGTGACGTTAATTCTTGCAGAGGCTCTACGCCTCAACTGCCTACACGTGACTTCGCGACTTCATAATTCTGGCTGGAATTATATAAATTTGGCCAAAATTACAAATAATTTATAAACAGCTGATTTTTTAAAACTGATAAAAATTTTCTTTTAAAACGAAACGAACATAATCAAATAATACTATAGATAACAATGTAATTTTGACTTAAATTACAGCAAATAACTACAGAAAACAATAAATAAATGACACCTAAAACTTCTGAAAATGAAGCCAAGCGCGAAATTAAGCAACTGTAGAGAGAGAAAATCCATGTTCGTGTAATGAATTTGTGATTATATGTTTATACTCTTATGAATACTGCATCTTTTACTAATATGTAGAATTTTTTCTACAAATATGTAGTTCCCAAATCGGGTAAATTGATTTTAGTATTTTAATCGACGCAATACGGTATTTATGGTACATCAATCGGATATTCAATGATTTTAAAAATATCTTCGGCAAATGATAATTTTCTATTTTAGAAAATGATTGATCTTCTATATTTGGCAAACGATGATTTTAAACTTATTTTAGAAATATGATCATTAAATAAAGTTAAGTACAATGCAAAATTTTCACGGCGATCATAAATAAAAAAAGAAAAAGTATACATTGTCCGGTTGATATGTCGGCAACACCCGTTGGAGTTTAAAATCAAATATCCTGAAACCGTAGTAACCGTCATAGTAACGTAATAGCCGTAGTATCCGTAGTATTAGATTGCTACGTGCAATAACATATAAATCTAAACAAAATAATTTTATTATATTTCTATATCGGAATTTCTTTCATTACTTTCCTTATTTAATTGTTATCTGTTTACTTCTATTATCTCTCCTTATTTAACGCAGTGTTCACATATATGTTTGCTTATAATATATTTTAGTCGTTAGTCCTCAGCATTATTTACGTTACAATTAAATTCCCGTAATTGATCTTATTTATGCATATCTTTTTATTATATTTCCTTTTTTTGATATTCCTTATTTTTATTTGGTATATTTTTAACTCCAAGTTACATTGGTTAAAAAAAAGTTTTTTTTTTATATAGCAATGATCGTCGTTCCATTATATATTAGTAGTTTACGGCGGCGCAAATGAATTTTCGTTGTATGTATATTATGTATATGTATATATATATATATATATATATATTTCAAAACTTTTTTTTCTTTCTTTTTTTTCTTTTTGTCCAGTTTTGGGATTTTCCTGAAAAATTCTATATCGAGTAAAGTAAATGGTTGATTATTAATTATTTAATTTTTGACATTTCATTATTTTTTTTTGTAACTTTCTATATATAGATATACCTGCTTTGTATCAGGATCGACATACCGATTTTGACTCAATCACTAAATACGAAGTCTAATAATAATAATAATAATAAATAAATAAATAAATAATACGAACGACTAGATCATATAATTTTTTTTTTCTTTTTTTTTTTTCGAAAAAAATTCTTTCCAAATTTTGTTTATTCAATCTGTATAATATTTCCTAATGTCCTTGGATGCTTTTAAACGTAAAGTTCTTTCGAGTTTAAGTGAAGAACGTGTTGAAGTCAATCAAAGACTTTTGATTGATAAGATTTTGGCTCGGTACAAAAAAATATTATTTATTATTTTTTTTCGATCATATATTTTATATATATTAATTTCTTTATTAATAAGAAATCTTTTTCAATTTTAGATATTCTTCTGAGTTTGTGATATACCGGGAACTGATACAAAATTCTGGTAAGAATTTTGATTTTTATTATTTCTCACGCTTTGATTTTCAATGTTATATTAATAAAAAAAATTAATTATATATTAATTAAGATGATGCGAAATCATCAAGTATACAAATTATATTTGAAACTGTAAATGCCACGAATGCTTCCAACGCCACAAACGCTACAAATACCACTAATACTTCAAAAGATAAAAAAATAAAGAATAATGTTATAAGAAATATATTCAACCCAATTAAAGAAAGCATAGATAAAAGGATAAAGAGTAATAATAGTAATAAATTTGGAGATAAAATTACGCGAATTATATTCAAAAATAATGGATTTCCTTTTAGAGATGAAGATTGGAATCGATTAAAGAAAATTGCTGAAGGAAATCCAGATGAACAAAAAGTGAAACTTTTATTTAGATATTTATAACTTTGTCATATTAAGTGAATTCCTTCTAACTTTTATATAATATTTATAGATTGGTGCTTTTGGTGTAGGATTTTATTCATTATTTTCAATATGTGAAGAACCATTGTAAGTTATTAGAAAGGCGGTTCTTCTTTTTTTTTAATAAATCGCGATTATTAAACTAATATTTCATTTGATAGTGTTTCATCTGGTGGACAAGGAATGGCCTTCTTTTGGCAAGGAAATCAATTATTCACAAAGCAAGGTCCGACCGGTGATGAAGATAGAGTTTGGACGACATTTTTAATGGACACGAGAGAACCCTTAGAGGTAAAGTATTTATTAAAATAGTTATGATATCGTTACATCTAGTTAAACCTTTTTAATATGCTAATATAATTTTTTTTTTTATATAAATTTAGTTTCCAGATATCGAAAAATTCGGCCAGTTCTTGGCAAATTCGTTGGTAAACTTAATTTTAACGTTATGATTATTAATGTTTTATAATATGTATTTATATTTAATTAAATCATAGGGATTTACCGGAAATCTACGAGAATTATCTGTGTATTTTAATGATACATTGGTAATAGGACTATCAAAGAAAATGCAAGACCCAAAAGCGATGAATATCGCATCCGAAATTAATAAAAATTCCCCACAAAAAATTTTTCAACTTACTTCGGTGGACGTTAGAAATGTCCAAATAGATGCTACGAGAATACTTATTCCAAAAAATATGAGTGCAAAACATTGGCGTTCGTTACAAATTACTGATTTTCAAATAGAGAAAGCATCTGTATCTCTTAAAATCGCTAGTGGGAATTTGAACGTTAAAATTAGTAATGAATTTTCTGCAGAAATGGAAAGAATTACTAAAAAAAAACCTCCAAGTAAAACAACCATTCAAATGATTTTTACTGGATTTGAAGAACACGAAAATTATAATAAAAATGTTTCTCGAGTCTTTAAAGATTTACTTCCATATCCAGAATTAGGAAGGGTATATATCGGCTTTTCAACTCATCAAACCACCGGATGTTGTTCTCATTTGGCAGCTCGTGTAATTCCTACCGTACGTATACATTTGAAGTATCTAATTTAAAAAAAAAGTACGTAATATTAATCTAATATATTTAAAAATTTATAATATTTAGGTGGAACGAGAGTCAATTGATTTGGCAGAAAAAACTTTGGTAATATACAACGGTGAAATGCTAAGTTTAGCAGGAACATTGTGCAGGATTTTATATGAACATGAAATGGCACAAATAGCGCGAGTTTATAATAAAATGATTAGTGATACTAAGACTAATACTAATACTAATACTAAGGCTAATACTAAGACTAATACTAAGACTAATACTAAGACTAATACTAAGGCTGATACTAAGGCTGATACTGAGGCTGATACTAAGACTGATGAAGAAGGCTTTCATGAATCGATTGATAGACGAGCAACGCATGCTTTGACACATTTTATGTTCAGGAGAAGCACACCAAATGAGAAAGTTGGTAAAATATCGGAATCCCAATTTTTTGAATGTTCAAAAAAACCGGTGTCAATTTTATCAACGAATGGCGTCCTTCCAATATCTAATGTTCGCATTCCTAATCCTGAAATGAAGGGTTTCTTAAAAACTGTTCCAGTTGTTTCAACAATTACGTTTGAAAAATGTAATTTATTTTTTATGAAAGCAAAAGATTCGTTTAAACTTATAGAAGAGTTATCACTTAAAGATGTTTTATTTGAATTAAAAAGTAGGACACTTTCTGAAGTCGAATTAGTCGAACTTTTAAAATGGTGGATCTCCCGTAGGTCGAAGGGTAATAAAATTGATCCATCAGAACATAAACAGTTTATGCAACTTACACATATTGGTAGTAAATCCCGTTCTTTGGATACAATTTGTTACTTTTTGAATCCAGGCATAGTTCCACCAAATATGGACGTTCCAGTTGAAGTATTACCACATACTATTTCCAAAAATTTTAAAAATCAGGATCTTGAAAAATGGCTTAATTGGTCGGAATTACCTTTGGTAAATTGGGCAAGATTTATAGTAAATAAATCTGATTTGGAAGTTGATCTTGCATTTGCTGAGAAAGTTCACTGTATTTTAGCAAAAGGTTTAAATAACACTTCGCAAAATGATAAGGAAACAATTCGTAAACTATTTGCACAAAAGAAATGCATTCCAACTAAGTTTGGAATGAAGGTTCCCAATGAAGCTTATTTTCAAAATGTTAATCTTTTTCCCGACTTGCCAACGATTCAATTTCAAAAACCTTCAAATGTTCAGAATATAATGGAACTCCTTGGCGTCCGAAAGGTAAAATCATGTTTCATTTTTTTTTTTGGAATATTAAGTTGTTAATTGCTAATCCCTTATTTATAGGTTGTTGAATTACAACTCATTTTTGATCGTCTTGTCAATCAAGGAAATTGGGATCACGTGCAACTTATAAAATATCTAGCCTCAAGAATGAATGATCTCAAAGAAAATGACATAAATATATTAAAGAACAAACCCATCTGGCCTAAAGAAAATTTGGAATATTCACATCCTGATAAGTACGAGCAAAAAAAAATGAAAGCACATAACAAGAATGAATCCAAAGAAATGAAAACGCTTGACAAGAAAGGATCCAAAAAAATAAATACGGCACCAGCAATTCAACGTTACAATGCCAGAAATTTATATATACCTTTACCATTGCATCGAGAGTTTGGTTTACCTATAATTGATTGGAAAGGAAAATGGATTCGCAACACTCCAGAAGGTATTATTTCATTATCATTTTGTTTTATTTTATTAATTAATTATTTAATCAATAGTTAATAATAATGTATTTTTAAATTCTTAGGGAAACTTTTAATTGAGTTTGGCCTACAAGAATATCCTGCACTTCAAAAAATTTTAGAGCTGGTAGCACCACCAACCGATCCCATAATTCGTAGCAAGGCTCTTAAATATTTTATTGATAATTTTAAAGAAAAATATTCTGCAAATTATAAATCAACTGAAATCAATGTTGCATTTTTGCCTTGTTCAAATGAAGGTATTTACGCAAAGCCTTCAGAATGCTTCACTAACCTTGAATGCATGAAAATGAATTTCAATGTCATACGTCAAGATTTATTGTTTTATGCAGAACAATTCGGTGTTTGTCAAAATCCTAGTAACGAAGAACTTATAAAAAGATTAGTTGATTATCCACCACAAAATGATAAAAAGGCAAAGGAAATTTTCGAATATTTATCAACACAACAGGGACGTTTTAACCATTCTGATTTGAAGATCCTTGCTGATCTCAAATTTATTCCAGTTAGAGACCGCTTTCAACCTCATGCAATAATCCATACTAATCCGAGCGGTTGTTTCTTTAAAACACATAAAAAAAGGTATAATATATACCTCATTAAATTTTTTTTTTTAAAAAGAAAGAAATCTAACTTTTTACGTATAACTTTTTTTTTAGCTTGTATGAATTTCTCACTTATATTGATTTTGGAGAGAAAGCAAATAGATTTTTGTTTAGTTGTGGTGTTAAAAATGAACCATCTTCAATAGAATTTGCAGAATTGTTAGTGAAATCATCATATGAACTATGGAAATCAACCGACTATAGTGTAGAAACTTATGTAAACATATTAAGAAGAATTGCCATTGATTTCGATACTATAGCTAGCAAAAAAGCAAGTTTAATTGCTGAGATGAAAAGGGAACCTATTTTATTGGCCAAAGTGGTAGAGTTCAATGGTAGAAGAAAGACGAATCATCATGAGCTGAAATCGGCGGGAGAAATTTTTATAAATGATTGTGAAACATATCAAAAAATTTTCAACCCATCGGTAGCTCCAGAAGATACTTTACTAGAAAATATGTATGAGGTATAGCGTTTATTATTAATTTTATTGAGATTCAGTATTAACATAACAAATTGTCTATAATGTTTAAACTGATGACAAATTATTTATAACTTAGAAACTTGGTTCTAGATCGTTACGTGAATCCGTATTAGAAACTACAATTCCCAGAGGCGTAATGAAAATAACATACAATAATTCTCAAGAAATACAAAATACAATCAGGGAAAGAGCAAATTTATTCTTTTATGACTATCCTAGTAATAAGATTGCTAAAGACGTAGAGTGGCTCAAAAAATTAGAAGTTAGAGAAATTGATCGAATAGAAACAACGTATAAGTTAGAAAATATTACTAGAACTATAAAAGAATCTACTACTGCTTGCATTCTTCAAAATGCGCAGATGAATTTGTATACATGGATTCTTTATGTAACACCTGATCCGGATAAGCTTGATATTTCAGAAGCGATATGTAAAAAAATTTACATGTCACACAAATGGATGGAAATATCTTATTCTAACATGATTTTAACTATATCTTTATCAAGTTTGGAACGTAGAGGATACCCAGTTGATCGTGCCTTACAATCTAAATCAGAAAATGTTGCTAAGAAATGTGATCAACAATTAGAATCTGTAAAGGTTCCAATTATTATAACTCCTGAAACAACTCAAAATTTACGAAATTCTCTACAAATTGCTGTAAAAGCATGTCATTCTAATTTTGGAAATGTTGTAAATAGTCAAGCTAGTATGGCAATTCTTAAAGAGAGTCAATCTGGATATTGTGATGTAATACCTGGTAAATATAATACGATATCATTTAATTATAATATCAAATACTTCATAATTATCTTATATATTTTACGCTTTTAGGTCACTTATTATTCTGTGTTGGAACTAGACAAGGAATTGAGCTTTATGATCCTAAAGGGTTTAATCAATCGGAAATTCTATCTCAATCGAATTTTGATCCGTTAAATCGTTTTATAAATATATTAAAAGATCTTGCGAGTGCATTTGAAATCACGCCACAAGCTCTTCATGTATTTTATGACAATCAATCAAATTCGATTGCATTTAATCGGGATAAATCATTATTTTTCAATTTAAAATTTTACATTGGATTACATGATAACGAATGTAAAACCAAACCTACAATTAATGCAATGATTTATTGGTTCATGACATTTTGTCATGAATTAGCGCATAATTTTATTCAAAATCATAGTTCTCAACATGAAGTAAGTGAAGTTTTTTTTCTTTTTTTACTTTTTTTCTTTAATAATTTAATAAATACTAATAATCCGAAAACTATTTTTTGAAAATTTTTTTTTAACAGTATTATTTTTCATCATTCGCGGAAATTTATATGTCAAATTTCTTAGAAATATTGAAAAAGCGTAAAATTATATGATTTATTTACAATTTGCAATTAATAATAATTATTATTATATTTTTTTGTTAGTTTTTTTTTTCATGATTTATATGATTTTTTATTAATGAATTCTTAATTTATGTAATAATTTTGAAATTTACAATCATAATATTTTGATAAGCGATATCTAATTTATTATTCCAAGTAAGATTACTAAAATTATTCTTAGAGTAATCTTGAAGCGTACCATTATTTGATAATTCTATATATTATTTTATTTAGGTAAATAGTTAGGTAAATTTAAATAGTGATTCACTTTAAATATAACAAAATAATAAATGATGTTTTTCAACTGATATTCTTTGTCTAACTCTCGTTGTTTCAACCGGAAATAGCATGTAACTTTCTTATTTTCTTTAATAGTCGGAAGTCAAGCGATTCTTCTTGTTGTTATCGTAGTCCCATATTTAACTTTAATATTTTATGGTATAAGAGAAGAAATAATCAATGCTCATAATGTTTGCTAGCTTTTATATAATCATTAAATAATTTATTAATAAAAGAAAGAGATTGGTTTGAATTGGGTTGTTGGATCATTTTTAAATGTAATACTAGTGCGTGTTGTTCATGTTAAAAATTCGAAGGAGTTTTTAATTGATGATAAGTATAATTCCCATTATTTTTAAAATAACCACGATATTCAATTTGTCGTTACTAAAATGGAAGGTTTTAACTAAAAATAGAAGATTATTTATTTTTTTGGGGCCGTATTATTTCCAATACAATGATCTGCATTACATTTTTACATTGTTATGGCGAATTTTTATCGCCGTTTTTCTTTGAGGATAAAGCATGTTTAACTAAAATTAGAAATTTTCGTTGATTTTTATTTTTTCGGGCTATATTTCATTGATCTGCATTATGGTTGTTTGCGTTATTGGATAAGAAATGCCTATAATCTTATTTACCATTAGAAGAATTTTTGAAATTTTTTCAAATTTAATTAATATACAAAAATTAGAATTACGTAATATCATATGGGCCAATCTAAATTTAGGATTCATTTATTATAACTTTTGACATCTATTTTTTATCAAAAATAAATTTAATTTATATATTTAACTTTTATTAATTATTAAGCATATGATACCCAGAAAATTTTTTTGAAAAAAATTCTTTTTCTAATATTATTTGTGTATTTGTAAAGTATATTTATGAGTATAACGAGTATAACAGGACTCTTAATTTATAATAATCATTTATTATACTATGTATCGTCAAATTTTTTTATAATATAAAAAAATTACTATTAAATGTAATTATTACAATTATATTAGTATAACGATTTTTGTGCACCTATATAATAAGTTTTATTTGTGGAAATATTCAACTCATACCCATTTATTTGTCTACCAATTTCATTAAAGAACATTCTGTATAAAAAAAAATGTTTCTTATAATCTTAAAATTTTTCAAAAATTAAGCTTGTTTATTTTGCATTAACCTTTTTTTTATTTAGATTCTACTTAAATAGAGCTTTTAATCTTTAATTAAGTTTATTTAAATAATAGAATGTTAAAATACATAAATTGTTTGAAATTTTGCGTATGTTTTACTATACTAAACAGTGAAATTTGACACATCGAACCAATCTGTTTCAATAGAAAACTTTTCAAGTATTTGGTATATTATGGAAAACGTGACTGCTTATTTATTGATGCAGATCAGTGCATCGGAAAAAATATGACCCGAAAAAAATTCATTTTATTGTAACTTCTACTTTTGGTTAAATATTCCATTTTAGTAACTCATTCATGGCATATTAAATAAAAAAAATTTTTTTTTTCAATAATATAAATTTCTAAAATAACCAAATGGAAACTAAACTTAATTTAAATATCTCAGATAAAGATACTGATACAATAAATACCAAAAATTGTTGTAAACCATTTACTGAAGAATTGGGGTGCGAAGAATGTATTAATTCTTTAAAAAGATCAGCAGAAAATGGTGATAAAGTAGCTATGTTTAATTTAGCCAATAGATATAGAGATGGAGAAAGAACAGAAAAGGATTTAGAAAAAGCCTTTCATTGGTATCAAAAAGCAGCAGAAAATGGTTATACTGGTGCAATGTATAATTTAGCCATATGTTATGAAAATGGAGAAGGAACGGAAAAGAATTTAGAAAAAGCCTTTCATTGGTATCAAAAAGCAGCAGAAAATGGTGATGAAACAGCAATGTTTAATTTAGCCATATGTTATAAAAATGGAGAAGGAACAGAAAAGAATTTAGAAAAAGCCTTTCATTGGTATCAAAAAGCAGCAGAAAATGGTGTTGAAACAGCAATGTTTAATTTAGCCATATGTTATAAAAATGGAGAAGGAACAGAAAAGAATTTAGAAAAAGCCTTTCATTGGTATCAAAAAGCAGCAGAAAATGGTGTTGAAACAGCAATGTTTAATTTAGCCATATGTTATAAAAATGGAGAAGGAACAGAAAAGAATTTAGAAAAAGCCTTTCATTGGTATCAAAAAGCAGCAGAAAATGGTGTTGAAACAGCAATGTTTAATTTAGCCATATGTTATAAAAATGGAGAAGGAACAGAAAAGAATTTAGAAAAAGCCTTTCATTGGTATCAAAAAGCAGCAGAAAATGGTGTTGAAACAGCAATGTTTAATTTAGCCATATGTTATAAAAATGGAGAAGGAACAGAAAAGAATTTAGAAAAAGCCTTTCATTGGTATCAAAAAGCAGCAGAAAATGGTGTTGAAACAGCAATGTTTAATTTAGCCATATGTTATAAAAATGGAGAAGGAACAGAAAAGAATTTAGAAAAAGCCTTTCATTGGTATCAAAAAGCAGCAGAAAATGGTGTTGAAACAGCAATGTTTAATTTAGCCATATGTTATAAAAATGGAGAAGGAACAGAAAAGAATTTAGAAAAAGCCTTTCATTGGTATCAAAAAGCAGCAGAAAATGGTGTTGAAACAGCAATGCTTAGTTTAGTAAAATGTTATAATAATGGAGAAGGGACAAGGAAGAATTTAGAAAAAGCCTTTTATTGGTATCAAAAAGTAGCAGAAAATGATAAAGGAAATCCTAAAAATGAAATTGAATCTTGTATTGAATGTAAGCAACCATATACTGATTATCAGTGGTGCCAACAATGTAATACTAGACGATTTCAACAAGATTTTTCAAAGTGGACTAGTAAAAATGAATTTATTAATAAATTTATTAAAGAAGCACAACTAAATGCTAAAAATAGTTATGAAATTTTAGAATGGATACCTTATAATAAATTGTCAAGTATTGATTATTATGATAAAGGAGGATTTGGTGAAATTCATAAAGCTATCTGGTTAGATGGACCTATTTATAGTTGGAATTTTAAAAAACAACAATGGAACAGACAAATAGATTATGAGGTTATTCTTAAAATACTTAATAATTCATCAAGTTTAAATAGTAAATTTCTGGATGAGGTATGGTATTTATTTTTATAGCAAATTTTATTTTCTTTTGCAAAAAAATTTAATAAATTTTTTATCATCTATATAGTGGAAATATCATTATGATTGTCAAAAAAAATCATTTTCAAAATTTATTCAATTCTTTGGAATTACTCAAGATCCAGATAATTTAAATTATATAATTGTAATGAGTTATGCGAAAAAAGGAAGTTTGAGAAAATGTTTATCTGATATAATTAAATTTAAGTGGCAAGATAAGTTACAATTATTGAAAACAATTATATTAGGACTTAAAGTAATTCATGAATCAAATTTAACTCATGGCGATTTTCATGATGGTAATGTCTTAATGTCAGATAATCACAATGAGTTATTTATTATTGATTTAGGACTATGTAAACCTATAAGTGATTCTGGTAATAAGGTTGATGAAATTTATGGAGTTTTACCTTATATGGCTCCTGAAATATTAAGAAACAAACCCTATACCCCAGCAAGTGATATTTATAGTCTTTCAATGATAATGTGGGAATTTACATCTGGTACTCCTCCATTTTATCATGAAGCACATGATCATCGCCTTAGCTTGGATATTTGTAGAGGAAAACGTCCTGAAATTATAAAAAATACTCCAAAATGTTATATAGATTTAATGAAAAAATGTTGGGATTCAAATCCCTCCAATAGACCAACCATAAGAATGCTTGAAGATATTATATCTGAATGGATTGGATGTATTAATGAATATTATGAAATAAACAGGGATGGAGAATATAACTTTATTGTACCTAATATTGATAAACAATTAAAAGATGATATGTTTGAATTTGTAGAAGCAAACAAAACTTTAGCACAAGAACAAGCAAATACTTCTATTATGCAATCTCATCCACAAGCATATTATACAACTCGCAAATTTACTGAAATTTTAGCTCAAGAAAAATCCGAAATCATAGTTCAGGAAAAGTCTGAAATCTTAGTTCAAGAAAAGTCTGAATGTTTTGAATGTATAATTGAAAATCAATGATCTTGTTATTTATTGAATTATTTATTGGTTATTATATAGAAAATATTTATATTATGTAATTACAATTTTGTAATAAAATAAATATTATTAAATACAAGTATAATAATTATTGAATAATGTTCGTTTATGCAAAATTTTTATTTTTTTATTTCATATAAATTATAATGGATATGGTGTACTTTACCTATAAAGTCTGTTTCGCATAAACTCATTTTTCCAAAATCATTTCGCTAAAGGGAAGTTCTGGAAGTTTTGCAGAAAAGACATTTCATCAAATGGGCATTTCGCTAACTCTTCCTCCTCTGAATCATCTATTTGTGGAGAAAATTTTGCTTAAAATGTTAGTTATTAACATATTTCTTTATTAAAAAACAATTTTAATACAAAGAAAATAATAAATGTTCAAAAAATAAACTCTCTTTTTCTCTTCAGTTGTTTCAGAAAATTTGAGTATGGTGATTTCATTATCTTTTTTTAAACTTGAGATCAAATAAAATTAATAAAAAAAAAATGAGTTGATATAATGTATAAATAATTCATTTGTCTTTAAAATAAAAGAAATTTAAGAGTTCTATATCTTTGGTAAAATGTCCCTTCACTGAAATGGCTTTATCAAAATGTCTTTCAGCAAAATATCCATTTAGGGAGAATGTCTATCTAGGAAATTGTTTGTTAGCGAAATGGTACTTTAGTGAAACATCTCTTGCAAAATTTCTTCAGAAAAATGGGTTTTTAGTGAAATGAACTTGGATACCAACTATAATAGCAACTTTGCATCCAAGTATTATCATAAAATTTATTTATTGAAGTTGTAACATTTATGCTAGTCTTACTGAATCAACTTAAACTATTACTGCTAGTAGTATCCCTTTCTTAATTGAGATTGATAAACTATTTTATATTGTAGATAAAGAAGTTGATAGATAGTGAATTAGTGCATGATGAATAGTAATTATAGATTTTTATGCAATTTTAAATTCCTATTTCAAAATTACAAATTCAACTTTTCATTTATCATTGTACACAATTTGAAATAAATAAAGTTATTTAGTATTAACTTAATATTTAATAATTATAATTAAATATGAAATATGAAATAAAAAAAATATATTAATTTAAATTAATCTAGTATAGAATTATCAAAAAAAAAAGAAATCTGAACGATTAAGGAATTTATGAAACATGATTATAGGAAAAAGTATTAGTATGTAAAAAATTTATTTTTTACAAATGCTATATAATTAATTGTTTATATATATTTTAATGATAAAAGCCACCAATTTAAAGTTCGTTTAATATGATCACATTTAGACAAAAGACCATAAATAATTAATGGTAAAACATAGTACCTTATGTGACATAATCTTTTTTTTTTATACTTTTTCTGAAAACTTCATTATAAATGTTTAACTTTTACTATTGTTCATTTATTCTCCTATTCTTTCCCCTCTTAAATACATGATGTCATCAAATTGGTATGGTAAGGCCTAATATTTTTTAAATAATTAAAAGCTCCATTTACCATTGGTTAAACTACTGAATTAGAAGAAATGGATTAAAAAATAATTTAAATGGATAATTTAGAAAAAAGAAAATGAGTAAATGAATATGTGGAGAATTTAATGAACCTGAACAGGAAGTTTTTGATGTCAACCTTATGCTAAAAGATTTTAAGAAAATATTAAAATTTGGATTAATTAAAATAAAGAAATTGATGAATTAATTCAAAATGATAAAATTTTATGTCACAAAATGTTTTGAATGGATACCTTATGAAATTCCTAAAGATATTACGAGATATTACTATATTACAAGTTGTGGATTTAGTAAAATTTATTTGGTTAAGTGGTCTGAATGATACATTAGGTGTCGGTATTGAGAATCAGAATTGATAAAAAAAATCGTATTTATTGTTGTATTAAAAGTTTGAATAATTCTTTTGATAAAACAAAGATGAAATAATTCGAAATCTATATTTTTCCATATATATAAAATTTTTTGTAAATTTTTTATATAAGAAATAAATTTGTCTTTTTTTCCTCATCCTTTAATGTTCATATTAGATTAAATCCATCTTTTCATTTATTTTGAAGACGTTATTAGATGTTTTGGTTTAACTCAAGATCCAATTACTAAAATTTATATTATGGTTTTAAGATATTGTAAAAATAGAAATTTAATAATGAAATTGTTTAAGTATATAAATTGCAAGAGTCATTCAGGAAATATAGTAAGTTCATATATAAGTGATTAGGAATGTGTCAACCAGTAAATGGCAAAATGGTTGAAGAAAGAATTTATGAAGTATTACCTATATTGCACCAGAAGGTTTACGTAGTCATCAATATACATAAGGAGCAGATGTTTAGTAATTAATTCATGAACTCCGAAAACCGCCCTTATTATTCGAAATAATAATAGATGAATTCCTTTCTAAAAAAAATTTCTTATAATAATATTTTAATGATGAATTTTAAAATATGTAAAGGAGTTAAACCAAAATTACTAAAGATATACCAAAATTATTGCAGGTTTGATAATGAGATGTTGAGATGCTGAAAAAGAAAATAGGTTACTAACCATTGAAGAGTTACAACAGATATTAAAAAACTGGAATAATAAACTTTAAAATAAAAGTAGTGGAGTTAGTTAAGATAGTGAATAAAAAGTGAAATTTGTTTACAATAAAAGAATGTGATAAAATTGAAGAAAAAAAATTTAAAGGCGGATTAAGATAAATTCAAAAATATTCAAACACAACCAAAAGCAACTTAAAAATAAAAAAAAAAAAAAATAAAATAAAAAAATCTCCATAGTGTTAACTATAATATTTGATCAATATCAATATCGGCAAAGATATAATAGATTCAAATGTTTAATAATTCAACATAAACTTTATATAATTTTAACATGATTATAACTAATTTTCACTTGGGGTGAAATCGCCTAGGTGATATCACCTATTAATTTTTATTATTTTTATAATGATAATAAATTTATTTAACGTAGGTGATATCACTTTTGTTTATTTGTTTATCAGATAACGAATAACCTTTTTTTAACGTTCTTTAACATCCTTCAACATTTTTTGACAACCTTTAACATTTTTAACGTCTTTTAACGCTCTTTAACGCTTTTTCTTTTTTCTTAGACTTTTGAAGGTAAGCTTTTTTTTTATAATATTTGTTTACTTTTTTATTTGCTATTGTTCCTTACTTACCCATTTTCTTTTTGTAGATTTTTCAACTTCGGTATCCTAGTAAATGTAGTAAATGGTAAGTTTCAAGTTTTTCAGAATTTCAGAAGTCTAGTTTCCTTACAGTAACTAACCAGTTTAATTTTTCATTTGGGTTTCTTCTATTTTGGCTGGATTTTTCCTTGGACTTCTTCTTTGGATTTCTTCTTGGGTTTCATTGTATTTCTTTTGGATTTTTTTTTCGGGTCTTTTCTTTGGATTTCTTCTGGGTTTCATTGGGTTTCTTTTTGGGTTCTTCTTGGGTCTTTTCTTTGGATTTTTTTTGTTTTTCTTTGGATTTCTTTTCGTGTTTCTTCTTCGGGTTTTTTTGATTTTTTCTTGAGTTTCTTTTTTGGGTTTCTTCTTGGGCAACTTTTCCTTTGGTTGGGATTTTTTATTTTCTTTATACGATTTCATTTTTACTTGTGTTTGATTTCATTTATCTTCTCTTTGGTTTTGGTTCATTCTAATCTTGTATATTTTTATTTCTGAATTCATTTAATCTCATTTAATTTTATCTTTAGTTCATTATAATTTAGTATAATTTCAATTATTTTTAACTTTAGTGGTGGTATCAAGGGTTATCATATAAACCATATATATGGTGTAGCGTTATTATAGACTTTTCTATTCACAATAAATGTTCGTAAAAATTTATTTTTATATGCAAATCAAAATAAAAATTTTATACATGATTTATTATGGGTGAAATCACCTGATTTTAATAAATTTATATATGAGTGAAATCACCTGGGTGATTTCACCCGGAGAGCAAATTAGCAAGATTCTTTTAACATTATGTAATGCTGGTTGGAATTTCATAATTCTACATATCTACTGTAGTATATCAATATATTATTTAGTTAAAGGAATAAAGTAAAAAAATAGTAAAAGATTCTGTCATAATTAATTTTAATTTATTTTCACATAAAATTTTGAGAATGATCAGCTGATAAAATCTTGGTTAGACAAGCCGCAGATTGTGCAGATTTGGCGTAACGAATGAATGATAAATATCTAAATTTGATCGAATATGAAACATTAATTGAATTATTAAAAGATGAAGTTGGCGAAGATCCTAACGTAAAAATATTTCGTGCTCACATGAATATTTTGTGTTACCGTTCTCCATATTTACGACGAATTTTATCTTCCAATAAAAAAAACAATGATAACATATTAGCTCACATAAAATTATCAAATATTTCACCAGAAATATTCCAAAATATTTTAAAGTATATAATATTATTCTATGTTAACGGATAATAAACAACATTTATGAGATTTTTGTTATATAGATATATTTATGGTGGAATGATTAAGATTCTCTTAAAGTTTTGGCCGCTGCAGATAACCTCCATCTTCAAGAATTTAGTTGATTATTTACAAAAATATTTAATTAAGAATAAGTCAGATTTGGCAGAACAACATTTTGGAATTATTCAACAAATTTATTCACAATCTAATAATTTATTAGAACTTCAAGAATTTTGTACAAAAATATTCAAATCTTTTAATTTCACCGCACTTTCTGAAAAATCTTTAATTTCACTTATTAAAAATAATGAATTACAAATGAAAGAAATCGAAGTGTGTGAATATGTATTAAAATGGGGTCTTGCACAAAATTCAACTCTCATTCTGGATCCTAAAACTTGGTCAGATGATGATTTCAAAACGATGAAAAATATTTTACAAAGCTGTTTGCTTTTAATTAGATTTTTTGGTTTATCATCTAGAGAATTCTCGCAAAAAGTTCGACCAAAAACTTAGATCAACAATTATATGAAGATTTATTGAATTCTTATTTGGAACCTGGTGGTGTGTCAAAATACCAACGTTTTACGTCCAAGAAAAATTAAGAATGATGAAATACATTTCTTCAATTTTTATTTTGAATTTCTATATATCTTATTAATTTGAAAAAATATGTAGTCAAAATTGTTGATTCCCAAATTATTGATTCAAAAATTGTTGGTTCTAATATTATTTCAACCGTTTCAAAATGGGTTGATAAAGTAGCCATAATTATTAGGAATTATATTTACCATACAAATTTGAATTTACTCCTAAAATATTTCATAAATTATGTAATGGCAAAACTAATACTGTTACATTTATTAAAGTAAAAGGAAATGAAGAAATTCTTGGTGGATATAATCCTGTGAAGTGGGAAAATACTGGCAAATGGTGTTATACTAATAAAAGTTTTATTATTTCTTTTAAAAATAAGAATATTAAGATGCAAATTTAAGTAATGTAACAAATGCAAAACATGCATTAGATTATAGCAGATCATGTGGTCCACATTTCGACTAAGATCTTAACATAATTTCTAGAAATACTAAATCTTATGATTGTAGAAAATGATGTATGAAAGAAATATAAGAGACACTGAAGATAAATTTTCAATAGAAGATTATGAAGTATTTCAAATAATAAGAAGCTAACTAAAAATAGATAATTTCTTGTTAAATAAAAAAAATAAAACTGAAGTTCTACATATATAAGACCAAATCTTGGCTTCTTTTTGATAATTATTAATCACGTTAATCACATTTGTTATTATTTGTTAAAAACAAACCCAAATTCTTATTTATAAAGGATATAATGATAGACGAACTTAATGCTGTTACATTCTTATAAATGAAATACTTGGTAAGTAGTGGATTTAACATTTTAGAGATATTTTAAAAATTTATAGGAGATGTGAATTAATAATTCGTATTTATTGATTTGTACTTATTAAATATTCAAATAATATGGAATATAAATTTTGTTTCCCTCGCACGTTTTCCACGTTTTCCCTCTTTTTAGCTCAAACTTTATTTATTCTTTAGAAGTAAAACAATTTTAATTTCAGTGTTCAGCGTTTTCTTAATTAATTTAATTTGAAACTCCAAAATTATTTTTCATCATCTTTTTTTTTCTTAGCCAACTTCACTCGCAACCAATTCAGTACAAAATTTTGTAATTTCATGAAAGAATCATTTTCAAAACTTGTTTGATATATCATGTTAAAATTTATTCCATTAGTTTTTTTTTTTCAAATCAAAAATAACTGTAAATGAAGGATTTAATTCTTGAAAACAAAGTTTACCGGCAGTGATCAAGATTTTATTCCTCTAAAGAAAGCCTCCTTCCATTAATATACATAAAAAAAATTTTAAATAGTAACATAAAAATTATTTATTTTTTATTTTTATACCAAATTTCTTATTTAATTCTCTTGTACCTCAAGATTATTTTGAAAAATTTCAGGTAAAATATTTGGTAATTTTATATGTAAAAGAATTCCATCATTTTTTTTTGTTGATAATATTCTTCTATGTACACGACAATATAATTTTTGGTAAAAATTTATCATCATATATTATAAAGAAAGAATCAAAGAAATATGGAAGTCAGCTGAATTTATATGGTAATTCCATAAGTTGGTGCTAAATCCTGATTGTTAATATCGATTTGACTAAAATAATTGTCAATTGTGGAAATAATTCGTTTCTCAAATTAAAAGCCAATCTATGAAACATTGAGTGATGTATATTGTTACCATTTTTTCATTATTTTTTTTGCGTTTCGTATTGGTCGTTGCGCTACAATATTACTGACAATAGTGACAATTACGAAAAAAAGTCTTACGAAAACATTTTGATATAAAATTTGAAAACCAGAAATTCATAGAATTATTGTGCGATGTAACTTCTAGCTTTTTTTATTGTCATTAAACAAGGATCTTATTCGTTCATTGTCATGATACTTGTAATACAAAATTTTATACAATTCTTAGACTTACAATAACGAATAATAATATTGTTTAATATGATGGGGTGAAAATAAAAGGTAGGACGGATGGTCTTATTTAAGGATTAGGTAGTAAACTCAATTTAGATAGTTTTTTTCTAGTGTTAGAAAATACTTTTACTCCTCTGTATTTTGTCTCTATTATAAAAATAAAAATAAAAATATTATCTATATTATCTTTACGACTGTATTTTTTAAATATGATTGGTTTAAAATGTGGCACAACTAGCTACAAATGTTTTTATAATATATTTTTCGTGAAACGCGAGCTCGCGAAGAATATAACAACATGCACTAAAAAATATATTTAACACTATACTTCAGATTGAATATTTTTAAACAAAAAGGACTTTGAAAAAAATTATTATAAAGATGTTTATTTCTTTTTTCACTTATTTAATATTTCCCAATAAAACAAGAAAACCTCTATCAACTTATCAACTACAAAAAATAATTAATAAGCGTACTAAATCAAGTTTCTTTAACATAAAAAAAAAAATTGTAAAACATTAATATCTGATAATATATAAACCAAGCTGACTAACATTACATATAATTTACATCTTTTAAATTAAAAAATCAAAAAATATTCCTAAAGAGAAAATGTATAGACGAAAAAAAAGAAAAAAGAATTATTATTAACACCACGCGTTTTAGACAAAAAAATGGAAATAATGTATTTAAGTGTCCTAAGAAAAAGACAAGGTATTTTAAAATAGTAGGCCAGAAGTAAAAAGATGTGAAAAGAAGGGAGAGCGAAGCATAGTAAAAAAAAAACTTTACCACATTCTTAAACAAGAAAATCCTAAATTAAAGTGGCAAAGTGTGTCCCTAAAAAGGAGAAAGAGGTGTTTTAAAGTTTATTTCAAAATAGGATAGAAATTTTCCAGATAAGTATCCGGTCACATAAAAATTTACTGATGTTCATTAAAATAAATAAACGGAAAAAATTTACCATCACTTAAAATAAAATAAAAAAATAATAAAATTTCAAGTCATTTTTAATGTCATGATGGAAAAATACATTATTTTTCAAATTTCAAAATTAACTTCATCGTATTTGTAACCCATAAAAATCGAACTTTAATTAATGTTAACAAGTCCAAAATTTTCGTGATAATCAACACTTGAAATTTACAAGTTCCATATATAACGATAAAATCTAAAAAAAATCATTTTATCGTGAATTTCATTATATCATTATTGTTTATCATATAAATAATTTCTGATTGGTGCAGCGATCTGGGTTGGGTTTGTTTTTCCAATTATAAATAAAATAAATAAATAAAAAATTATATATCGTAATTGTCAATACTGTAATATTACCTTGATTTTAAATTTCACTAATCCTCACATGACGGTAGGCATCACTTTTATATAACTTAAATTACTCTATAATGAGTGTACCATAAGTATAGAAAAATTAGTAAAATATTTGGAAAATACAAGTTTTTATGTAAATGAGCAAAATTAGCAAATAAATTTTATCACAGGTATCTTGCAAGTAAATTTGCCTGTGAAGTTTTTAAAATGGTCTATAGGGTTTTATACTTAAATTTTATGTAAAAGTCATCAAAATATTTATCTACGAACATATAGGAAGATGCCAATGTCGATCAAATAATTTTCTTTATCTGGCAACAAGGTTCTTTCTTTCCACCTTTATTTTCAAATCCTTGTATTCAAAAATTATTTATGAATTAGTGTTAATATCCAGGAGGATTCAGTAATTTTTGAAAAGTACAGGGTCTAATGGACAAAGGTAGCAACAGTGACATCAACAACGAGAATTAAGTCAAGAGAAAATATAATGAAAAGATTATCTCAATGTGATTTTAGGATGATGTAAAAAAAGAATTATGAGGGATACAATTGTAATATTGAAAGAGTGTCGAAATTTTTAATTAGATAACAAGTAAATAATAACTTCTATAATTCCCATAGAAAATGTTGTTAATGCCTTATGGTAATAAATATTGAAAATTGCTAAAGCTCACCGGCGGTGATGGTCACCGTACCAGCATTATGATGTACTTTCGACCAGAATTAAAAATCTAATAAAATACTGGCCGGCATTACATCATAATTTCACCACCGGTGATGTTTAGCATAAATATTTATTATACTCATATTTTTATCAAGCATAATAGTCCTGTGCGGAGAAAAAATACTAAGTTATACGTTGAAAAAGTAACTACATTTTCCTGTTGTTGACATTTGTATTATCTTTTATTAAAATTATTATCTTGCTTTGAATTTCCTTTCGCTCCTCTTTTTCTATTAAGCCATTTAAATTATCAAAGAATATTATGGTTTTACCATATGTGCTTGAAAAGTTTTGATCAACCTTTCTGTGTCTAGTGGCAGACTATAATTAAAATTTTGATTAATATTTCGATTTTATTTATTTATTTATTCATTTATCGAATGTTATTGAGAAAGAAACAAGTTCAAATTATTATTCAATTATATTATTCGTATGTATTTTTAATCGTAACCGAATATTACATTAATAAAAAAAAATTAGTTAAGCTTTTAAATTGACTATAAAATGATATACACGCATCACATAATTAATTTACTTCCTTAGTTCCTTGAGATTTGAGAATCACTATTACTATTATTTTATTATAAGACTTTATCGGGTTAATTTCATATTCTATTTATTTGTCTTCAATTTGGTCAGCATTAATTTAACCGAAATATATGAAATCCTAATTACTGCCAGAATCAGACGAATTAGAATTAGTAAATTTCAAAAGTGTAATAATGAAAGCGTTAAACTGTTAACATAGTTAATAGATATTTCACTGTAAGCATCTTAACCATTTATGTTACAATTTTAAGAAGTCACAAAAATGATAAACGATAAATATCAACAAAATTTTTATGTAAAATCACTTTAATAAATCCTTTTACAATAGGGTTCATATACTAATACCGAAAATAATTTGTTATAGAAATTCGGGTGAAAATGTTCCGGTTTATTAAAGTAGAATGGTATTACAAAAAAGTATTATTTATTGAAGCTGCGAAACACTTTCTTTTTCTGTATATTAATTTTATGGATTAATAGTTTCTTATGCAAATTCGATCTTAGTAGGTAAATTATCAGTAATATAATGAACATTTTATTTATTAGGAATAAAATTAAATTATATTTTAGTTTTAAAAAAGTTTTTATTTAATTAATTAATCAAATAAATATAAGATAAATGAATAAATACATATAAGTTAATAAATAGGGCTAGTATAATTTAAAATTTTATCTATCATTATTTCTATTCCTACTCATATTGTATGGTTTTATAAAAATTGTAATTCACTAATTATTGAAAAGCAAAAACAAGACCGCATTTCAATAAAATTTAAAATGTTACCTTTCAACTGAAGATTTAATGATAATTAAAATATTAAACTATAATAGCAAATAGTTATAATTGGTCTAAATTTTTTCTTTGCCTTTAGATTTGCTATCCTGGTCTAAAAAATGAACAAATAAAATAAGTATATTATACAATAGTCTTATTTTCTTTTATCTATAGTATCCAAGGAATATTCACCATCTTTATTAGTATTCAATTGGGAAATATCAATTTGTAGTGATTCTATTTAATGGAAAGAATTAGTGATTTTATTTTTAAATAATGATCTGGATATTTTTTATTAATCAATACCTGAAGAATCCATACTAATTATATTATCATTTTTTTCGTAAGAAACATCAGAATTATCTTGTTCAGGAAAATTATTATTATCAATTTTTAATAGTAAAGTATCAATTTGTAAGAATTCTATTTAATGAATTAAAAATTTATTAATATTTTGACAATTAAGTTTATTAATTTTTTTTTTAAAAAATATACCTGAAGATTCCATTTTAATATTATCATTCTTTTCATAGTGACTACTATCATCAGAATTTTTTAGTTCAAAAGAATTGTTATTTTTCAATTGAGAAATATCAATTTGTAAGGATTCTATTTAATAATAAAAACCTTATTAGTAAAAAAAGTTTCATATTAATTTTAAAATACTAATAAGTACCTGAAAATTTCATGCTAATTATATTATCATTTTCTTCATAATAATCATCAGAATTTTTTGGCTCAGGAAGATTACTAAAATTAAGTAATCTACTGGTATAAATTGCTTCTGAATGTGTTTTATATGATATTCCTAGACTAGTAGTAGTACAATTAATCAGTGATTTTTTATTAATTATTTCTGCTTCTTTTATTTGATTATTTATCTCTGCATAACTAAGATCATATGATTTCCTAAACCAATTGCTTAAGGTTTTTTCAATTTCTTCAGCTTTTGGTCGATTTAATGGATTTGCATCCAAGCATTTTTTGATTAGATGCACAATCAATTGGGGTACATTAATATTAAACCTTGGTCTAAGTCCTTTACAAATTTTCACTGCTAAATTTATATCATGGCCTATATCATAATATGGAGGTAATCCAGAAATTACTTCATACATAATTATACCAAAACTATAAATATCTGCAGCTTTGGTATAATTTTGTCCACATAAAATTTCAGGCGCAATATAAGGTAAAATACCATATAATTTGTTTTTTGCATTCTCTGGTACATTATAGTCTGCAGGTTTACATAATCCCATATCAGTTATACAAGTATGATTTTTAAGCCTTAATATATTACCAATATGCAAATCTCGATGAATTAATTCTGTTTCATGTATATCTCTAAGTCCATGTGCGATTTTATGTAAATAACTGATCTTATTATTCCAATTTAAATAATTATATTTTATATCTAAATAATTTCGTAAACTCCCATGCTCTGCATAATCTAAAACCATGATGTAATTTTTTTCTTTTGGAGCTTGAGTTATTCCATAAAGTTTAATAATACATTTGTGCGAATTCACTTTGTAATGTAATGTAATCTGTATATTTATAAATAAGTATTAATACCAATAAATAAATAATTTTATATTGGGTAACTGAATAATTGATTAATTTACCTCATTCATAAATTCAAATGTAACATTTTTTGAATTATTTAAACTTTTCAAAGCTACGACCATGTTTTGATCCTTCCTTTTCCAATTTTGATCATGGTTATCCCATTTACCTACTATATAACCATCAATCCACTTTGCTCTATATATTTTTCCAAACCCACCTTTTGCAATATATTTTACATCATAAAGTCTATCATAAGGTATCCATTCTAATGCTCTCTTTATATCATCATGAGCTGATAGTTGAGAAATTTGAATAAATTTATCAATATCATTATTACCACTAGTCCAATTTTTAAAATTTCGTTGAAAATATATTGAATTACACACTCTATTACACTTTTTACATTTATCATTTATAACCACCATAAAATTCTTTGTTTCTGAATCTTGAGTTATTCCACAAACTTTATAAGGTACTGCAATCTACAATATATTAAAGTTAGAAATATTAGTAAAAATAAAAATTTCAACTATTTGTTATTTAAAATGAGAATTTTTTTTTTTCACAAAATGGCATAGTTTAATAATTAGTATATTATAAATAACAAAAAAAAATGAAACTTATGATAAATTTATTATACCTTATTTATAAATTCTAGTGTAATACTTGCTGGATTATTTAAAATTTTCAGAATTACAAACATATTTTGATCTCTTTTCCAATTTTGATTTTTATTATCCCAACTACTGTCAACATTTATACATCCATCAGTCCAATTTGCTCTGTACACTTTACCAAATTTATCATCTGTAATATATTTAATATCATAAAGTCTATCATAAGGTATCCATTCTAATGCTCTCTTTATATCATAATGAGCTGATAGTTGAGAATTTTGAATAAATTTATCAATGTCATTATTACCACTAGTCCAATTTTTAAAATTTCGTTGAAAATATATTGAATTACACACTCTATCACATTTTTTACATTTATCATTCATAACCACCATAAAATTCTTTGTTTCTGAATCTTGAGTTATTCCATAAACTTTATAAGGTACCGCAATCTACAATATATTAAAGTTAGGAATATTAGTAAAATAAAAATTTCAACTATTTGTTATTTAAAATGAGATTTTTTTTTTTTCACAAAATGGCATAGTTTAATAATTAGCATATTATAAATAACAAAAAAAAATGAAACTTATGATAAATTTATTATACCTTATTTATAAATTCTAGTGTAATACTTGCTGGATTATTTAAAATTTTCAGAATTACAAACATATTTTGATCTCTTTTCCAATTTTGATTTTTATTATCCCAACTACTGTCAACATTTATACATCCATCAGTCCAATTTGCTCTGTACACTTTACCAAATTTATCATCTGTAATATATTTAATATCATAAAGTCTATCATAAGGTATCCATTCTAATGCTCTCTTTATATCATAATGAGCTGATAGTTGAGAATTTTGAATAAATTTATCAATGTCATTATTACCACTAGTCCAATTTTTAAAATTTCGTTGAAAATATATTGAATTACACACTCTATCACATTTTTTACATTTATCATTCATAACCACCATAAAATTCTTTGTTTCTGAATCTTGAGTTATTCCATAAACTTTATAAGGTACCGCAATCTACAATATATTAAAGTTAGGAATATTAGTAAAATAAAAATTTCAACTATTTGTTATTTAAAATGAGATTTTTTTTTTTTCACAAAATGGCATAGTTTAATAATTAGCATATTATAAATAACAAAAAAAAATGAAACTTATGATAAATTTATTATACCTTATTTATAAATTCTAGTGTAATACTTGCTGGATTATTTAAAATTTTCAGAATTACAAACATATTTTGATCTCTTTTCCAATTTTGATTTTTATTATCCCAACTACTGTCAACATTTATACATCCATCAGTCCAATTTGCTCTGTACACTTTACCAAATTTATCATCTGTAATATATTTAATATCATAAAGTCTATCATAAGGTATCCATTCTAATGCTCTCTTTATATCATAATGAGCTGATAGTTGAGAATTTTGAATAAATTTATCAATGTCATTATTACCACTAGTCCAATTTTTAAAATTTCGTTGAAAATATATTGAATTACACACTCTATCACATTTTTTACATTTATCATTCATAACCACCATAAAATTCTTTGTTTCTGAATCTTGAGTTATTCCATAAACTTTATAAGGTACCGCAATCTACAATATATTAAAGTTAGGAATATTAGTAAAATAAAAATTTCAACTATTTGTTATTTAAAATGAGATTTTTTTTTTTTCACAAAATGGCATAGTTTAATAATTAGCATATTATAAATAACAAAAAAAAATGAAACTTATGATAAATTTATTATACCTTATTTATAAATTCTAGTGTAATACTTGCTGGATTATTTAAAATTTTCAGAATTACAAACATATTTTGATCTCTTTTCCAATTTTGATTTTTATTATCCCAACTACTGTCAACATTTATACATCCATCAGTCCAATTTGCTCTGTACACTTTACCAAATTTATCATCTGTAATATATTTAATATCATAAAGTCTATCATAAGGTATCCATTCTAATGCTCTCTTTATATCATAATGAGCTGATAGTTGAGAATTTTGAATAAATTTATCAATGTCATTATTACCACTAGTCCAATTTTTAAAATTTCGTTGAAAATATATTGAATTACACACTCTATCACATTTTTTACATTTATCATTCATAACCACCATAAAATTCTTTGTTTCTGAATCTTGAGTTATTCCATAAACTTTATAAGGTACCGCAATCTACAATATATTAAAGTTAGGAATATTAGTAAAATAAAAATTTCAACTATTTGTTATTTAAAATGAGATTTTTTTTTTTTCACAAAATGGCATAGTTTAATAATTAGCATATTATAAATAACAAAAAAAAATGAAACTTATGATAAATTTATTATACCTTATTTATAAATTCTAGTGTAATACTTGCTGGATTATTTAAAATTTTCAGAATTACAAACATATTTTGATCTCTTTTCCAATTTTGATTTTTATTATCCCAACTACTGTCAACATTTATACATCCATCAGTCCAATTTGCTCTGTACACTTTACCAAATTTATCATCTGTAATATATTTAATATCATAAAGTCTATCATAAGGTATCCATTCTAATGCTCTCTTTATATCATAATGAGCTGATAGTTGAGAATTTTGAATAAATTTATCAATGTCATTATTACCACTAGTCCAATTTTTAAAATTTCGTTGAAAATATATTGAATTACACACTCTATCACATTTTTTACATTTATCATTCATAACCACCATAAAATTCTTTGTTTCTGAATCTTGAGTTATTCCATAAACTTTATAAGGTACCGCAATCTACAATATATTAAAGTTAGGAATATTAGTAAAATAAAAATTTCAACTATTTGTTATTTAAAATGAGATTTTTTTTTTTTCACAAAATGGCATAGTTTAATAATTAGCATATTATAAATAACAAAAAAAAATGAAACTTATGATAAATTTATTATACCTTATTTATAAATTCTAGTGTAATACTTGCTGGATTATTTAAAATTTTCAGAATTACAAACATATTTTGATCTCTTTTCCAATTTTGATTTTTATTATCCCAACTACTGTCAACATTTATACATCCATCAGTCCAATTTGCTCTGTACACTTTACCAAATTTATCATCTGTAATATATTTAATATCATAAAGTCTATCATAAGGTATCCATTCTAATGCTCTCTTTATATCATAATGAGCTGATAGTTGAGAATTTTGAATAAATTTATCAATGTCATTATTACCACTAGTCCAATTTTTAAAATTTCGTTGAAAATATATTGAATTACACACTCTATCACATTTTTTACATTTATCATTCATAACCACCATAAAATTCTTTGTTTCTGAATCTTGAGTTATTCCATAAACTTTATAAGGTACCGCAATCTACAATATATTAAAGTTAGGAATATTAGTAAAATAAAAATTTCAACTATTTGTTATTTAAAATGAGATTTTTTTTTTTTCACAAAATGGCATAGTTTAATAATTAGCATATTATAAATAACAAAAAAAAATGAAACTTATGATAAATTTATTATACCTTATTTATAAATTCTAGTGTAATACTTGCTGGATTATTTAAAATTTTCAGAATTACAAACATATTTTGATCTCTNATCCCATTTATTTATGCATCCATCAATCCATTTTGCACTATACACTTTGCCAAACTCATCATCCGCAACATATTTAATATCATCAAGTCTATCATAAGGTATCCACTCTAATGCATTTTCTACAAAAGAAGTATGTTCTAATAGCTGAGTATTTTGAATAAATTTATCAATATGATGATTCCTGCTAGTCCAATTTTTAAAATTTTGTTTAAACCATTTTGCGTTACATTCATAGTCACAATGATCACGTGACTTGTTTATCAGCTTTTTAACACTTTTGCCCATTGAGAGTTTTTTCAACTAAAATTCATACGTATAAAAAAGAAAAAAAATTTGTAGTAGTAAGAAAAAAAAATTTCACTTATTTATGCATAATTATGTATTGCTGATCATTGTAAGACAAATTTTTATGAAAATTCAACCAATTATTTGCCGATCATTTTCAATTTAAATGCACGTGAATTTTTCTAAAATAACACGAATATTAAGTGAAACTTTTTGAACCAAAAAAAAATAATTTCATTAATTTTTTAATATTATTCATGCCATATATTATAAGTCTATAAAGTTATAAGCTAATTATCCATTATTTAAACTTCATGCCATAATAAAGATACTTATGCATAATTATGTAATGCCTGATCATTGTAATGTGGGCTGAAATTTTTAGCCGATCATTTTTGCACGCAATTATTGAGTTCGTTACAAAGCCATAAATTAGGTACATGGATGAAGCATTTTTTTAGGTTATTTATATAGTATATTATATGTTTATAAAAAGTTATAAGTTAATTATCCATAATCTAAAGAATGCTGTAATAAATGTCATATTTAATCATGAAAGAAATCATCACATGGAAATAACTTTTGTTCCTAATTTTACTGAAAACTTTAAAAGGTACAGAATCTGAAGGTCATAAAAAATTATTATAATTACTAATAGTCTAGTAAAACCCTGTTAAATAATTCTTGAAAAAATTTGGTTTTATTTTTTATTCACTAGTTCCTTATCGTTATGCAACCAATGGATGCAACCAAACACTTTATTGACCTATGATGGACAATTTCCAAATAGGAATTGTTTGAATTTTGTCTGAGAAAACTTGACAAAATTTGAAGTACTGTTGAGTTATAAATACTCATGTTGGTTGGTTCTTTATTGTAGGAATAATGTTCAAATTCAACTCTTTAGCTTGAAGAAAAGAATGCTGAAAATCTGTACAATGAGTCTAACTTTAATCGAAATCCAATATATGGTTAGTTTGCTGATGCCAGCATTTTTATAACATTACATATTAAGCTTAAGCTTAAGCTTACTTTTAAGTTTAAAATATGTCAAGCTTTATGCATTGGATCCGCAATCAGCTCCTACGTAGATGGTATGTTAGTATATATTGAAAAAAAGTGATGATGAAAAAAAAACAAAAGGATGAACATATTACGTAATAAAATGGTAAAAATGGTTAATTACTGTTTACTTTTAATTTTTATAAAAAGGAAAAATACAATATTTCTCAGTAAATTATTAAATTAACAGATTTTCTTTATGGGAGTTTGTTCTTTTTTTTTAATCTACCATTTTTTTCTCTTTTAAAAGAAGATTATCTGAATTAAATGAATTAAACCAATGATCTCAAGAGTAATATAATCTCTAATTATATTTATAAGTTATATATTGTGCTTTGCAACGATTAATATCACAATTATTAACCAATTATAGCAGATGATTGGTAAAGATTTGGCCACGTAACGATATTATCGTGTGACCCATTGACTTTAGTTTAATTATAGCTTAACGTTAATTATAGCTTATTTTTGATTTTTTAAAAATAACAAAATTATCGACAATTATATTTAATATATGGATCACGATAATTTGGGTTAATTTTTTTAAATTTGGAATTTTTTATTCAGTATGCAAAGGGATACAAGTAGTGATCACACAAAAGTTTTCCCATTTAAATTATTCTAACGAATTTTTTATAAAAAATTACATGTCAAAATGGATTTTATTCACGAAATATTAATTTCATTTTTAATTTAATAACGCTCATACAAACTTTCTTTTTATAAAATTGTTTAAAACCAATATAAATAAAAAAAAATTTTTTAAATGATTAATGATAATAATAAAAAGAATAATTAAGGAGTGTCCCAACTTGATTCCTGATTTACCCTAGTTATTAAAATAATTTAGAATGTAAAAATTTGACCAATTTTTTTTTCGTTTTTTCATTCTTTAGGTTTGGATCGGGCAAGTGCTGTGATATAATAGAAATAATTTTTTTTTTGCTTGAATAAATATATTTTATATGATTTTTTACTTAGAAAAACGATTTTTTGAAAAAAGTAAATATGAACACTATACCGTGTGATACCAGAATCTAACCTTATAATTTCATGTGAAACTCAATTTCTATAAATATTTTTTAATTTTTTTCATTTCCTTACAAACATTTTTTTCATATTTCACAATTTCTACTCTCATTTCTCACGATTTTTCATTCTTATATTTCTTTCTCATTTCCCATTAATTTTTTTTTTTCATTTTTTTTTTTCCATTTCTTACAACTCTTTTTATCAAACACTATGGATAATAAACATATTAGTAAGCAATAGGATTACGGGATATGCAAAATTGATTTAAACACGTTCATAATATTTTAGTCAATCAAAGTTCGCTTATAAAACTTTATCATGAGCTCAATGATAACTTAAAATTTGTAATCTGGAAGTTGTTTTCATGAGACGAGATCTGAATTTTTGGAAATTATTCAAATGACGTTTAATAAATTTTTGGGGTATTAAGGTGATAAATAATTCAGTTACTATTTGTTATTGGCATGTAGTGCCTCAATATTATCAGTTTTTCGGGCCATTCATGTAATATCCAGTTACAGTATTATCTAATAATTTCTGCATGAACTATATTGATCCATTTCATATCATCTTGGCATTATTGTCAACGGGACGCATTTATTTCACCGAAAATCATCTCACCGACAATCAACTTACCGACAGTCATTTCACTGACAGGGTCGTTTCACCTACAGTTGTTTTACCGACGATCATTTCACCGACAATATCATTTCACCGACAGGATCATTTCACCGACAACTAAAAATGTTAATAAAAAAAAATGCCGGAACCTATTATCCTGGCATTTTTATATAAAAAAAATTAAAAAAAAATAGCATTATGAAAAATTTATTATAAATTTTATTTTATTTAGCTGTTTTCTATATTTAACATATTATTTCATAATACTACTATATTTAATGCTTATGTAATTAAAATTTATATATATCTTAGAAATTCCATATCATACAGTATATTAACACTGATAAAAACTTATGCTTAATGCTTCTAATACATAAAATGAATAAAATATAAATATATAAACTAATTAAAATGAAATATTGTGGGCTATTCCTCAAAGAAAGTCTAATAATGGTCTATTTTCCTGATCATTATAAACCACCTGGATTCTGTTTTCATGTTCCCTATCATGTTTTTTTTGCTTAGGTCGTGGATTTCCTCGAAGAATTGACTCAACCTTAATCTCAATTTGATGCTGCTCACTTTGCAACTCCTTTATGATTTTAAATAATCCCACATGTGCACGACCCACCAATGTCTCCCATCTCCTATGCCATGCCTCTACTGAATTCTGTGTTCTTGGAAATGTATATTCTATATTTTCAGTGACTGACCATAAAGATGGTGGAAATAATGGCTCGGAACGAACCACATTTCCATTTCTTAATCTACGAATCACCTTTCCATGGACATAATAAATCTCAAACCAATCCAAAAGTTCATTGACTTCTGGTTGCATGTCTGGTGGCATGTTACTCCTTAATTCATCAAATGCAGCTGGAATATTATCACAAGGCAAAAATGCAAGTGCTGGGATATGTCTAACAAATAAACTAATATTTTCGTCACTTGCATATTGAGAAGCAAGGCCAAATGCTTGCACTTTACAATATACACTTTGGGACAAATGAAAATGGCAGCCTTTATTTTGGACACCATGTAATTCTATATGAACTGCATTGATTGAAGCTTTTTCAAAGTCTGTTAATACATACTGTGGTTGTAGATCAATGTTATGTTCATCACCAAAGTTGATTAAATTTTGAAACAATGCTCTATAGCACTCCTCTGATTTACTTGACATTAGTGAAAATACAAGAGGCATAATTTGGGAGTTTTCACTACCTCCAACACTTCCATGAATTGTATAGAGTTGTTTAAAAATTGTTGGGACAGTCTTGAAAGTACCGTCCATTATCCAAAAGGATGATTGAGACAGATAGTTGACATTATTAAATGTTGTAAAAATTAGCACTTTTTCATCACCTATGTTTAAATCCCTAATCAAAAATTCAGAACCACTTAAAGTTTTTTGCAAATTATCAGGAATAATAAGATTTGCAAAAGATTGTGGCTCTGCTGGTAAATTAGCACGTCTAACTCGTTTGACAGCTTGACGAAGTGCATCACGAGATGGCAAATGAGAACCTATTTCCTGTGAGCTACCAGCCAAAACACTTTGAATAACTTGTACAGGCTGGTCATTTGTTTGTTGGGCCCGTTCTTTTAATAAATTGAGACTTTTTACAACTATAACTCGGCTTGCATCTGCAGCATGGTTGTGATCTGTAAACTTTACAAGGTGATGTTGATCTTTGGTAAACATAGTTGTAGCTCGTTCATTGCATCGTAGTTGATCCCGTTTTTCACAATACCAGTAATATGAGTTGTTTCTTTTTTTGTCTTTAACCATGAGATAGCCACAAACATTGATTTTATTTTTATTTCGAATAGAAGAAACAGCTTCACAGATATCCATTTTGAAAAAAATAAAGAAGAGGATAAAGTATTTATTAGAAAAAAATTGAGTTTTACTTGTAAATACTACGAATATTGAAGAAAGTAAAATTTTTACTAGAGAATTTTGTCATCTCACTTTATTTATTTGAGTGGTAAAAAAACGATTCAAACAATAAATAAAAAAAATTAATATTTTATTATATTCAAATTACATAACATTCCTTTTATGTGTATATTAATAAAATTTTACACAATAAATAATTCACTAATAATTGTGGCTATGTTATTTTTCACAATAAAAACTATTAAATATTAAATTAATAATTGTGGCTATGTGATTGATTATCAAATTACAGTAAAAAATTAAAATTCGGTGAAATGATTTTCGGAGAGATGATTTTTGGCGAAATAACCCTGTCGGTGAAATGAACCTGTCGGTGAAATGATTTTTGGTGAAGTGACTGTCGGTAAGTTGATTTTCGGTGAAATGTTTTTCGGTGAAATAAACCGAACCCATATAAAATGTTGAACGACATAAAATAAAATTTACTTCTCTAAATTTTCCCCAAATTATATCCACTTTTACCTTTAATTTCAAACTTCGATAGCTTTCGCTACGAATTATTACTTTTCAAAAATGTATATCACAGGTCGAAAAGTGAAAAATCAGGCACCAATCGGTCACCAATCAGGTAGCTGATTGGTGACTGATTGGTGCCTGATTGGTGCCTGATTGGAAAAAAAAAAAAAAAAAAAAACCAATCAGGCACCAATCGGTCACCAATCAGGTACCTGATTGGTGACCAATTGGTGACTGATTGATGCCTGATTTTTCACTTTTCGACCTGTGTATTTAATTCACTTCATTTTATTCAATTAAAATTAATTAAGCAAACATTAATTAAAGTTTAGGGCGAACCTATTACCTTTAATTAATATTGAACTTTACTAACACTGGTCAAAATTGATGTTATCGGGTACATATCAGGTACCTGATATATACCTGATATATGATATGTGTACGATATTTAATACTTATTTAACAATCCTACACATATCGGGTACCCGATATCTGTAGTACAAATGTAAAAAATCGGACACATATATTATACATATTAGATATATATTGGGTACATATCGGGTAGTTAAATATCGGGTATATATAGTAAGCATATCTGATACCCGATAGATTTTAATAAATATCAGACAGATATCACACACTTATCAGACGTACTGATAGGTATCCGATATGTGTCCAAAATTTTTATAATTTAAGCTGAATTTATTTATTTTGAAATATGCCAAAAAAATTATATTTATAATATTAACAGTTAATTCATTTAATTGTATTAAAAGTTTTATTTTATTTTTATTAATTATATTAAAGAATATTACAAAAAAATATAAAAACATTATTCTAGATATATAAACTCAATTAAAATTATGTGAAATGCATATATAAATCTCCTTTTATACTACAAATAATGTGTTCACTCATTTGCTGCTTATTTTCATTTCATTATTTATGTCTATTTAATTTGATATTTTAAAGAAAGAAATAGAAACATTAAAAGTATTTTAGTATTAGAGATATTAGTATGAATATTGTTAAAAAGAAAGGGGATAGTATTAAGAAATGTTAGTATAAATGGTAGTAGAAGTGTTAGTAAAAGAAAAGAAACATTATAAAAATAGTTAGTAATAGAATATATTAGTATGAACGTTGTGTTAGTATGTATAATTGTTAATAAAAAAAATGTTTAGTACGAAGTAAAATATATTAGTAAAAACATACGTTAGTAGGAAGATACATATTAGAAATAATATATTAGGAAGAGAAAAGAAGTGTTAAAAATATTAATAATATAATAAAAGTAGAAAAATATCAGTAAAAAATGTACCTTTTGTATTTATTTTACACAAAACAATAAAATAAAAATTTTAAGAGAAAGGGTTTAAAAGAAAAAAAATAAACGTGAAAGATAGATAAATAAATAAAAAATTGCATTATCATGTGATTAACAATAGCTATTAATTTTTATTGGCTATTTAGGTAATTATTGATTTTAAATTGATTAGTCCGTTAGTGTTTACATTTATACTAGAATTGCACTCAATTGTACTAAATTGCACTGCAAGTTAAACTCTTTATCGCTTTAAATAATACAAAATCTACTTGTATATACCAATTATCCACCTATCAGTTACCTATCAGTCACATATACCTAAGGTTGCCTGCTTAAACCTCTCCAAAATTCTACAATTAGTTTCTCCAAGATTTTACTATAGTTTTATTATAGTTTTAGCAAGGTTTTGGCAGTTTNCGAAAGATAAATAAATAAAAAAATCACATTATCACGTGATTAACAATAACTATTAATTTTTATTGGCTATTTAGGTAATTATTGATTTTAAATTGGCCAGTGTTTAATATAAATGTATTTATACTAGAATTATTGCACTCAATTGCACTCAATTGCAAGTTAAATTCTTTATCGCTTTAAATAATACAAAATCAACCTGTATACATCAATTAGTCACCTATCGATCACCTATCGGTCACATACAGTATACCCGATACCCAATTCATCAAAAATTCAAAAATAAAATTAAAAAAAAAGAAACATTATTTATGATATATTAAAAAATCCCTAAGCATACAATTTCAAGTCCGGGTTCATCCAAAAGTCCGATAACCTAAAAAAAAAGAAAAAGAAAGCGTTAGAAACGGTTCTCTTAAAAAAAGAGAAAGATTATCCCCCTCCTCTGCTTACATAATTCCAAAGTCCAGGTACATCTAAAGTCCGGCAACCTAAAAAAAAAAAGAAAAGAGAAGCGTTAGAAACGTTCTCTTAAAAAAAAATATAAATATTATCCCCCCTACCCCGCTTACATAATTCCAAAGTCCCATAATTTATGAAAATTTGTTGAAGAGGGTTCGTCTAAAAGTCGGCAACCTAAAAAAAAAGAAGAAAGAAATGTTTAATAATGTTTCTTAAAAAATATAATAGAAAAACCCACTCCTGAACCCCTTTTTACCTAAATTCCAAAGTCCGGTTCGTATTATTCGTCCGGCAACCTAAAAAAAAGAAAAAGAGAAGCGTTAGAAACGTTCTCTTAAAAAAAAATAATAATAAATAATATCCCCCTACCCCACTTACATAATTCTAAAGTCTGGGTTCGTCTAAGTCTGGCAACCTAAAAAAAGAAGAAAGAAACGTTTAATAACGTTTCTTAAAGAATATAATAGAAAAACCCACTCCCGAACCCCTTTTTACCTAAATTCCAAAGTCCGGTTCGTATTATTCGTCTGACAACCTAAAAAAAAAGAAAGAAACGTTTAATAACGTTACTTAAAGAATATAATAATAAAAAACCCCACTCCCGAACTCCTTTTTACCTAAATTCCAAAGTCCGGTTCGTATTATTCGTCCGGTAACCTAAAAAAAAGAAAAAGAGAAGCGTTAGAAACGTTCTCTTAAAAAAAAATATAAAATATTATCCCCCTACCCCGCTTACATAATTCCAAAGTCCGGGTTCGTCTAAAAGTCCGGCAACTAAAAAAAAAGAAGAAAGAAACATTTAATAACGTTTCTTAAAGAATATAATAATAAAAACCCCACTCCCGAACTCCTTTTTACCTAAATTCCGAAGTCCGGTTCGTATTATTCATCCGGCAACCTAAAAAAAAAGAAAAAAAGAAGCGTTAGAAACGTTCTTTTAAAAAAATATATATATATAATGTTATCCCCTACCCCACTTACATAATTCCAAAGTCCGGGTTCGTCTAAAAATCCGGCAACCTAAAAAAGAGAAGTGTTAGAAACGTTCTCTTAAAAAAAAATAATAATAAATAATATCCCCCACCCGCTTACATAATTCCAAAGTCCGGGTTCGTCTAAGTCCAGAAACCTAAAAAAAGAAGAAAGAAACGTTTAATAACATTTCTTAAAGAATATAATAATAAAAAACCCCACTCCCGACCCCTTTTACCTAAATTCCAAAGTCTGGTTCGTAT